TGTGAAGGGGTTTAGCAAAGTGTGATTATGGTCATTTAGCCTGGCTTACACCAGAACAAATAAATGGGAGACCTTCAATTTGAATTGGCGAAAACGTTATCTAGCCACAAAGTCCGTTTATTACTCTCTCCGTTAGTACAAAGAAACATTATTTTAAAAATAGTCTGATACCTTCTATTAATCTTGGAATATCCGAAGTTTTGAAATTTTTTCCGGGCGAAGAGGTTGAATATTTTCCTGTAATCTAAAAGGAAAAATATATCCCTTCAGCTTCGCATGTAGAAATATCATAAAACATACACATCAGTGAAATTATTTAGTCATCAAGGCTTACACGAATGGAGAAGATTGTGGAAACTGTTATCGCTGAAAATGGTTACCAATTTCACAAATGAATACTAAAGTTCCAGGTAATACCGTATATTAAACCTAGTTCTCACTGTTACAACTTCACTTTAGGCTTATACGAATCAGTGAGATGTGCAGTCATCACATATATATGGCTGTACAAAGTGTAACCCTGCTCATGACACATTACTCAACTCTTGGTTTGAAATTTCTCTTAGTGAATTCGACATGAGGGATCATGTGGCTAGGGCTCGACGTTGCTTCACTGTCGCTACAAGTTCCAACCTCGATATAAATCATAAATTATCAGCCATACAGTTTAAGTGACTAGACGAGGCACCTCATGTAGAACCCATTTACATGTAACGGTAAAAGTAAGAGGATATTTCCTCCCGTATATCTCTCGGCTTGAGCGTCACCTAAGTCAGTCTTCATATGTCTCGTTTCTGCTGCCTTTTGACTGTATCTGTGTGATTTTTGTTTTGCTTTCGGTTCATGTACAATTATTGTTGCTGTGTTGCTTACATCTTCTGATATCTGGTCAAGTTTTGGTTGCTGCTATGGTTTTAAATACTGTTTTACTCTAATGTCCTCAACATATCGATCTGTAGTTCTTGTTGACTGACTCCTTTTGATTTGATTTTATAAGACAGATATCTGATTTTGTAATTGTTAGGAAAGTTTATTGTCTTAGATAACCCGTCACCTAGGGGTTGTTTTGTTGGTGATATTTTTGTCGTTTTTCACACAATGTCGCTCCTGAGTTGTTAAGAGTCTTTTTGTCAGTTGTTAAGTAGTTGTTTCATCTCCGGTTTTCAAGTTGATCTTACAAGTTCGTTGTTATAGTATTATTTGTACCTATAGAAAATATCGCTCAGAGATTGTGTTTATGAATTCGTAGCACTTGTATGCTCTGCTTTGTACAGTTTTTAACGTTACATGCAGGATTTATTGATCATAATCAGTCTTTTTGGTGAACTCCACTCAGGTGCATCATTAAATTTTTCTGGCCTAGGTTTATTTGCATAGTACTAGTTTTAAGAGATGAATCTCGAGGAAAGAGACTTCGGAACTCATGACAGCTAGATTCCTGGGAACTTTGAGATGTTTTATTAAAGGCATATCACATAATGGGTAGACCAGATGGTGCAGATAAAACTATCCTACATGGAACTATAGCGACTCAACTTTATATGAGTCTGATTTTGTTAGGCCCTTCAATCAACCTATTTCGCAGATAGCATCATTCAAACGGTAATAATTTACGCATATCTTTATATTATTATCATATCTGTGTGAACATGTTCGCTTGATTGATTGTTACAGTCTTCGCGAATTCCTCTCGCTATTTTGAAATGTACGTGGCTCAAATCACATGAAGACTCATCCGTTTGTGTGTTATTATTGAGGGTTATAATTATGGTTGTATATTATCTCATAAACACTATCAAACAATTTTTAAAAATATAAAAAAAGATAAATAACGATATTTAACATGCAGTAGGTCTACTGGGGAGATTCAGTAAGTCTATTCTATATCATGAGATTGTATCATTTGTTATTATCAATATTGCTGTCCATATATTTTTCTCCTTTACGTTGATCCGTTTGTCCACCATTCTTCAGGCAACAACACTTTAATTCCTCTCCAAAAGCCACCCTTGAGGTCTCTTAATTTTCCTATTCTGCCTTTCAGGCTCACTAACCCTAATTTTTGGTTCATCAGGCTTGAAAATTATTTTCTGACTAACCGTATTCGCTCACAACGGGAAGAATTTGGTCATGCAGCCTTGTTGACCCTGGACAAGCTGAAGAATAGCATACAGTTAGCTCTAGCTGAACCATATTAGGAAGAGCCACACGATGAATTAAAGCAGGCTATAATGAAGTCTATCTCATTAACCGAACTATATGCCACTGACATCTTCCCATTCTCGTGTAATAGAAGAGTAAGTCTCCATCGCAGCTAAAATACTACATGAAAAGTCTACCGAAGGACACAAACAGACAGTAACTGAATTTGCTATCTGTGGTTTTTCTGACTTCCTCAAAGTATACAGTAGATTCTGTCAGTCTCAAAGAGCGATGTCGTTATCGATATCGCAAAACAACTGACAGGATACTCGAGGTAATTAAACAAACGAAATTTCGACTAAATAGCACTCCACACGTTGAAGAGGTTGACCCAAAACAAAAAGTCACAGAGAAGGTCGTGGAACAGGCGGTGCATTAGAAGCCGACCGTTTACTAAAAAACGCCTATCTCTTTCAATATGCTGATATCATCAAACATATAGCTTCAGAACTATAAAATGTAGACTGCCTTTCTGATTTGAAATAACGACAAGTAAACTACCAAGCCGTTTTCATTGGTAACTGTGTCGGCCGGAGTAACTCTTAGAAACAGCCGTTATGTATATAGAATTAAACGATGGACGCACAATTCTCAGTATGTAGAGTGAGAGATAGAAACGATATGTCACCCTTAAGCTACAAAACTCGAAATGCTAATCTTGCATTAATGTTAAAAGCAGCAAATAAGTCGGTTGTAACAGCATATGGCAAGAGAAAATTGGCGCTGAATTTAGATTGATGTGCTTCGTTTTGCTGGAAATTTTAATACATCAGATATGTCCGCGCCCATTATGAGTACTGATTTCTCAAGGAACTTCGGTTTATTTGTTGATTCTCAACAACACTAACTCATAAATAGTAAACCGTACCATTAAGATAAGAGGAGTACTTACTTATTGCGTTCCGATGGATATGGTGGTAGCTAAAAACCAGCTCGTTCCATGTAAATCTCTGCTAACAGAGTTTGCTGAGCTAGCGAAGATAACATACAATAAAACAGATATTGAGCACACTGTTCAAAATCAAACAGTAGCGATAAGACCAACGATTACTGTAAGTTAACAAAGGTTAGACTCGAATAGATATTATATACAAAAACAGTAATTTGGTGAGTTGAAGTAGCTAGGGATTGTAAGACCGCGTGGTAGCATTTGAGGTTCATCGTTATAAATGTTCCAGAAGAAATAACAGGAAAACAATGCACTGCAGAGATCAATGAGCTCTTTGAGAACAAACGATGGCTGTTAGATGGTGGTATCACACATTCACGAGTCCACTAATGACGCTTGTCTTTTGAAACCTGGCCTTGTTAGAGTTTATGATCACATTCACATTCCCTAAGAAGACAGACGTAAAACGGCTGTAACGACTCCATTCGGGCTAAATGAATCTCGGCGCATGCTCTTCGAATAGACTGATGCAACACAAACTTTTCGGTGATTCGCTGGTCAGAGTATCAAAGGTTTGGAGGGGGTATATATGTATTTCGACAACATGCTAGTCGCCAGTGCTATGGCAGACGATCATCTACAACAACCGATACGATTGTCCATGAGACGTTAGGAACACAACATCTTTATTAACGTTGGGGAATGTGAATTTGTAGAAAACTCTCTATAATTACCAGGACACATGGTACCTTATTAAGATATTTCGCCACTACCAGCAGAAGTTGCTGCTATCTGAGACTATCCGTTAGCTGAAACACAGAAGAAATCGCGACGATTTCTGAGGCTAGTACATGATTAGACATGATTTAACCTGAGCTGTAAGGCAATAATACGACAACTAACGGGCGCCTTGAAAAACACGCTTAGACATTCAATTTGTCCATAGTGGTGATACAGGAGTTTGGGAAAACCAAGCAAGCCCCGGACTAAAAGACAATGCTGGTTTGGCGATAGAGAAGAACGCGTTTAGCCATTATGCCTGGTGCTTTGAAAGTGACAGTAGGAGCCGTATTGCATCCTTTAGTAAACGAAACATTGCGATCGTGAAGGATTATACTTCAAGCACCGTGATTACTCTCCGAGATCTTCTAAGAGAGAAACAGAAAAAACCCAATCTGTCTCAGTATTCTACTATCCTGAGACAAACGCATTCAAGTCCACAAATAACCAACATACTGATTAGATTTGGTGAAGTCGAGCTTCTAGAATACTTGTCATCTACTCAACGTTGTCAAATACATGGAGTCGTACTGAAGCAACAAGGAGTGAATGGGAAAACGTCTGGTCGATTAATACAGGCTCATAACACAAATTTTAGGGATATTGGTTAAAGAATCTCTCTATGTGAATAAATTATTGATCACGTGTTACGGGCTACATACAATTTTTTTACCAACTTAACATTTAGTTGCTTAAATCAAATGGTGACGCAGTTGCTAAACAAATGCGTTTCTTAAATCGTCGTTGTCCCCATTTGTGCTTGTAATCACTTTTTGTGGTAGTAGATTTGTGGCTTGTAATGCACAACAAAAGACTGTAGTCAACGCATAGTACTGTCTGCTGAAATTTATTTACCGGTAGGAGTTATCTGATGACGGATATCAGGACTAGTGGTATACGAAACCTTGGGAATCAAATTGAAGATTATCTTATACAGACGTCACAACAGCAAGGTAATATTGCCAAACTTTGCTTAAGGAATGTTTTGTAAGTTGCAATCAAAAGTCTTTTATGGATGTTAAAAATCATCTGGTTAACAATAGGCCCTTAACAGTGTTATTGGATTTTGGAGGTCGCCTAAAAGTTACAAGGTCGTTCACAGTGCTGCTTACCGCGTGTTTTGCCTAGTGAGTCACACTAAGTCCCACTCAAACGTTTTTTTCAAAGATAATTACTGAATTATCATCACTTACCGAACACAAACTGACAACCTTTGTATTACATTTACCGTGTTGTGAATGAGTCTAAGCAATCTTTCTTACACAGTGTTGGTCAAACGCAGCTGCTGAATATCCTCAACCAAGAGACTTTGGGTTTTGCAAGTACTAAAAAACTGCTCTCACTCATAAACTGTGTACCCTATCCTTTAAAGTTACGGCAGCATCGTAGATGAGCCAGGTTGACATAGACTTTTGTGCTTAAAACTAGTAGTGTTTTCGGGTTTGCTGTCCTTGCGCCCGATTGGGGCATTGAATGATTATGGAGATCAATATTTCAGACATCATCCAAAGGCTGTCATCTGGTCTTCCGACCTTAATTGATGTCCGGCAAAACTGTTCAGTATCTCAATTTTTGTTTAATTTCATCATAGACCCACTGCTGGAAATAACGTTCACGTCTGAATTTTTGGTCATCGATCTCCTACCAGGATGTCCATTTATCGACATAGAACACGCAGATGACATAATCCTGTTTGGTGGTAATGGTAAGATGCAGTGTCTTTTGGTAGCACTGAGCATCAATGATAGGATATTTGGGATGCGTTTCTCCCCCTCTAAATGCAAGTTATTGCTTCAGGACTGGCTTTTGCCAACTTACGTCACCTATGGCGAAGGGGATATATCCGTCTCTCACTTAAGGGACGAATATACTGCATAGCAGTTCGTTCTGTTGTACTTTATGGTCGTGAAACATAGCCGAGAGTCGGTCACCAGCTACCATGGGACTGCATCTCCTCACGATGCCCCACTGCCTTGTGAGTTAGACCTTTAGGTCCAAGGCTCGGGGTGTGGCCCCCCAAGAAAACTACCTGCTTCGGTCTGGGCATTCGGGCAGTATCCCAGCCCTCGAACAAGTCGAATGATTCATTTGGCGCATATCTATTTGGTGCCTCCTTGTACCAATGTTTATGTTTAAATAAATAAAATAAATAATCGGTAGATGCAACCTGCTTGGTTAAGGTCTGTGTGATAACCACGATCAGTAGTTGGAGGCTTCGAGTGATGTGACTGGAAATTGTACAAAATAGGACGATTATAGTCAGCCGTTATCTTCCTTTCGATCTTGAATCCCAGTATCTTTTCATCCATACCCGTCCTCTCTGTCATTTTGAACCACTTTCCTAACATTTAGTTTTCCTTTTTACCACTGCTGCTACATCATTTCGATCTCTTGTTATTTCCATCTTGTCACGCTAATCTTGTATACGACTTGGGCTAAACATATTTGTGTCAGGCTGTGATAATGATTTCTATCGGCCTGAAGGGTCCCGTGTTATCAACCAAAAAACATAACCATTATTAGTTTGTGGTATGTGCGGCAGTGTTGCAGGACTTAGAGGATAAAGATATGGTTAGTACATTCTGGAATTGAAAAAAAACAAGGCCTGTTCTCCGCAAGTCAGTTTTTCACGATTGGATAGATAAACAAACCCAAAGGCTACGTAAAATTGACTCAGGTCTGTTCATAACCAAATATAGAATACCACAGTTAAGAAACCTTTCTGATTAAGTATGCCTTTAATGTTGAGTTTGCTCTAAGTATGTACTAAGCCTCTCTTGATGTAGTCAGCTAATGATAAGCTTAAATCTTTTCTTTTTATCTCATCGTAAAATAGGGGGCTATTTTAATCTAACATTTTGCATCTGAAATAGTAACTTTGTTGCTGACGGATCTTATTTTTTGATCTACTTAAGACTATTATTCTCTGAGACCTATGCAGGAAGGTTGACAGGACACAAACAAATAAACTCTGGTTGGAATTCTGCTGTATCCATCTAGCCATTAACAAGCGGGAGAATTGGTATTAGTCCTGTTGGTGAATGTTCTACAACAATCTTCTCTGTAAGAGGTAACAAGTCAGCCGATTGATTATACTTATCACTAAAGACTACCTCAATGTGATTCGCATGTGTGAAAAATGTACGAAAGTATTCAGAGAGAAGAGTTATTTGCTATTTGTTCAATATTTCCAGATTTGATAACTTCGGTCAATGGAATCAAGAAATTACATGTATTGTGTTTTTGAGCTTTCTTCGTATTATATAGATACCTGTTGATTCTGTTCGCGATCTCGATAAAGCGAATTTCCCTGTACAAGTCAGTTTAAAGATCAGTTCGATCATACGTCCAAGCGGATTAAAGAAAGTCGTGATCATCCACTTATCTTGTAGTCCTACATACCCTGAAACGTGAGTAGTGGCTTATAGTTTGTAATGCTGTTAGATTTAGGAAAGTTTCTACAAATAATTGTATTTTTAAAGGATTTTAATCATGAATGTGGTTTTTACCTCATCATTAGGAAATTCATTTAATACCCCCTCGAAATAGTTTTGCTCGTAGTTTGTGAACAGTGTATTTGTGATCTAGTCTTCAATATCTTTCCAAGCTCTACACAGAATTTAGTCCTACTTCTGCTCGTTATGAATATAAATTACTCATTAATAATTGTAAATGTTATATGGAAGCTGATCTGTTTTACCGTAACTACGAGGTGTTTATGTTTTCTGTTTCTCATATTGGTAATGTGCTTTAAACTATGTATTTGGGCTACTTCACTTTACAAACTTGGTATTAAAATAGTACATCGTAAATCCAAGAACATAAGCAACAAGCCCTGACACTGTTCTGTAACATAAGGGGGCTCGTGACTTCGTCTATTTTCTCACTTCGGTTGTCACAAAATCTGGTATCTTTATAATAACTAAGTACATGATCCCGCAAGCTGAATTCGCGAAGACTGAAAAAATAGTTCTTTGGTTGCTCGAGTGTATACTTAAAGCCCCTATTTAGCCAGGATTTACCACGCGACAGAAAAATCCATCTTATAAAGTACCATCGGGAAATTAATATAAAAGATAATCAAGGGTTTACCTGGGACTAGTTAGACTAAGCGACATCTGTTGTTAGGTGGAATTATGTGACATCATCTTTAGTCTAAGTGAAGCGGAATATAGATTGAATGTGGAAAATATTTTCTTGTGTTAGGAAATCTGTAACTGTTCTAATTAACATAAATTTATTCCTTAATACCTTAGAACTGGAACTCTCCAAACTAAACATATTCAAGTCCAAGACTGTAGTCTTTGTTAAAACGTAGCACCTGATATAAGCGTTTGTCAACTTTATTCACCTAGTTACCACGCTCATCAAGATTAGGAGAAAACCTAGTATGTTTACCTCCAGGATTACTTTGTGCTCCCAATATATGCTGGTGAATGCTCGGCGAAACCTGTAGCCAAATATTCAATACCCACCTATTCCTTCTCTTTCCATAGGCTATGTTTTGCAGTTGTTCAGCAATACAAAACTATCCACAGGGGAATGTACTCATCCTATGTTAGGCAGGTAAATATTTCACTGATCCCACAGGTGACCAAAGTTGGCTAAAGCCAAACACCCTTTTTGTATCCATCTCATGATTTCAACAGCCGCCGACTTAATGGAGCTGATGAGACTTCCAAGATAAATAAAGTGGTTAGGACACTCAACTACTTCACTCCTTATTGTTAGAATAGACTTCAACGCAAACATCGGAAATCTATGAAATCATGTGATAAACATGTATTTAAACTCTGACTTTTTATACCCTCGTATTTTACTGTGTAAAATTATAGCATTACTAGAGATGTTAGTTATCCTCAAAAAACGTCTTGCTGCTACCACGCTCTTGTTGTGTTACTGTATTCTCACACCTTAAATTTTCTATCCTCAGTCTTTATGGGTTCGAAAGGCCTCATTCAATAAGTATTTTAGCCATTATACCTCGCTTTAGCAATAGACGAGCTTGGCTACCTCGTCGAGGTAGTGGCTACATTAAGGAAACTTGTAAAAGATTTGAATTACATTTTTATTCCTTACTGTATGTAGCTGTTAACTGTAAACAGCCCTTAGTACACTTCACTTCCCCAGAATACTACTTCCACATTTTGTAGCTGCTTCATATATTACAAGTAGCATTTTCAGTTTATCAGTAATCAATTTGTTTGTGAACTTTTAGTTTTTTCATGTTATTTGTATAACTAGAAGCTCACAGTCCATTTCCCTATTGAAAAGAAATTTTATTATATTCTATACCTTTACAGACTTCTCAATTTCCGTATCAAAGGAGACAAACGAGTCACTAAAACACAAATAAGTGTTCTTCATGACGTTCTTAAGCAGTTGGCTGAAACAATGAGAGGTCAGGTAATCTGACATGAATATAGAACTTTCACCATTTATCTACAACCAGTTTAGTTTGGATCCATATCGTTTTTTGTATTTGTATTCTTGATTCACCTTTTAGAAAATACATTGTTACAATACATATTATTGTAAATTTTGAAATTCATTCTGTTTTTCAGAATTTATGAAGATATCCTATCAAATAACCTTTCAAAAACCGACTTTTTATTAAGGGTCTTTTGTATTCACTCCATAATCATCTATCTTATATAGCGTCAAGTAATTTAATTAGACTCCTCACTTCTAGCCATTGGCTGCTAAATCTCAATTCTGTATGAAATTTTTAGTAACGTGAGTGGGCAAACTTGCATAGACATGATTACATGTGATACCTCTTTAGTCTTAGTTTTGGACTATGTTTTCATTTGTTATCCTTTGATTGTTTGTGGCCGCTATCATTGCTTACTTTGTAATCCGTCTATTTTAATTACATATCACTATTCGATAACTTCAAATAAGTCTATACTTGCTTATGAAACTTCTACAGAAAAAAGACTGATATGAGACGAATTTGGTCAATTGTGTCATTAACACAGCTAAGTAGATAATGTGGTATTATGTACTGAGTCTGTTTCATCACTATCATTCATTTTCGCCAAACAAGGCTGACCAATAATTAATAGCATTCATAATAGTATCTTATCATTAAGTCTTCAGTATTATTATTATTATTGTCATCATTTAGAGATTTTTAGTCACATGCCTTTAATAGGATATGCAAAATAACTGACTATTCGGTCGTTGTTCCAACTGGATTTTATCGTTTTCATATTTTTATTTACACGAAGAATAAGTCATTGATATCTCTAGATTTTTAGTATTTTAAACTAATAAATTATAAAAAGATTACCTTGTGTTTTTAACTTTAAGAAATCAACAAAGTTCAAAAGTCTAATATTCCTTTCACGTAACTCTATATGTACAAGATATATTTCCTTACTAACTTTTGGATTTGTTTAACATATGAATGGTGATTCTGTACCTATCTACCTGTTGTTTAACCTATTATTTCATTTTAGTATAACTGAGTGTTGATTGTCTCCCAAGAATTTTGCAGTATGCTAAGAGATTTCTTTTGACACACCTGGTTTCTCAAAGTTTTTTTAAAGCTTGCTCCTAATTTTCTTATCTACAAAGATGGTGATGGTTTGGGGTGATTGAATGAGAATTTTCTTCAGGTAATGGTGTCTTGACACTGACTATTTTTAAATATGACCATCAGGTTCTACTTGAATGGTTCAACAGAAATGTCATAGGTATATATAAACGTCTCGATTTCTATGTAGTGTGAGCTTGCAAATGTGCTTTTCTAACAAGTCTAAAATTAAAATTAAAGCATGTTGTTCATTGTTCACGGTCTTTGTAATTTTTCCACCTCATTTTCATTGTGATAACTGTTCTTCGTTCTACATAATAAAGTTCTCATATAAAGAAAGATTAATTTACACAGTTCGATTATGTTTTAAAACTGTAATTAAGTTACTTTTAATGTTTCTTCTTTTTTTGAAATAATTACTAGATATGCATGAAAGAGCTAATCGAAGCTAGTCACGATTTCTTAAAGTCATTGTCCAAACCCATCGTTGATTGTCAAACACTTAGAAATGAACAAGATCTCAATTTAAGAAATGATGATAATCTAGTATCTAAATTAAAAATGGTAAAAAGAGAAGTTTTTTAAGTGTAAATCTGTTTGTTTTTTTAGTCCTTAAACCTTGTACCTTTATCATGAGCATTTAACAGTGGCTATGTACATATATGAAATTATTGTCATTTGTTCAACTGTGAATTAAATTTCTAATCTTTTACATTAAGTTCGATGTAGAATAATATATTAAAGTATTAGTATTCGCAGTGGGTTTGCACTTTTTTCATGCATTCTATAGTATACCTCGATTTTATCTTAGACTAAAACGATAATCAGGCGCAACTGACACAAGACGAACTCAGAAAACCCCTCCTCTTACAGATAGTCCCTCATCAAGAACTTTCCCAGGTTTAGTCAGTCAATGCATTACATTTTTTATGAGATTTAGTTTATTATCTCGTCTTTTATGACAGGCGTTCCATCTGATGTTGTTTTAAAAAAAATTAATATTCGCCACTTTTATTTTGAATATTTTCTCTAGGCTTACTAGCGAGGAACTCAAGTCGAATTTATCTATTTTGACAAATATCACATCCTGTAGATTATTTTTTTCTCAAATGAACCTCTTTTGGTAATCATTCAGATAATTTTGTGAATGTTTACCTTTCAGATTGAACACATTGATGAGGCTATTCAGTGGCGTTTGTCATTAAATGACGTAAGACTAATTTTATCGTTCATTTATCAAGTGTACTGTATTAAAAATGAGACTCCTTATGTCGGTCATAATTTCAGAAAAGTAGGCATTATGAAACAACTAAGTATAGGTTCTTATTTCTTCGTCTTGTAGGGATTCATCTGGCATTTTTTCTTGACATTCTTTCGAAACTATTTTGTTTTGAAATGACAAGGTCTTAGTACTAAGTATTGAATCTAACGGTAGATTGTACAAAAATCGTTTACTTTATCGACTCAGTTCCCCTTTAGAGGCGGGGTTAACTAGTAATAAAGTATCAAATTAACGTAACCATAATTCTAGGGCTCAATTTTCACTTCATCTACAGACTATTTAATGTTGTAACTAACATATGAACAAAGATTATTCTTTTCAATCAATTCTCTTCAGGTTATAAAATGATTCATCAAAATTAATAGTTCAAAAAAGTGACCAGGTTTAGGGTAAAGTACATTGTTTGAAATTATAGCATGTAAATTTCAGATTGTTTGTGTAATGAAATAAAATTATTAGTGTTGGGATGACTAAAACGCAATGTCAACTTGAATAAGGCTTATACGTCAAATGAAATTGTGAGATCAATGATCAGAATAAATATGGGTCAAATATTGGGGAGCTAAAAAGCATCATTCCATCTAATATTACAAAAGACAGCTTAAATCCTTGCATATAATCGTGTAATTACTGAAATATACTGTTGTTTCCTTATTCGGATGATAAAGTTTCCCTCTACTAAATGAACTTTAGATTTGTGGCTCATAGCTAGTAGTTATAGTCTGACCGATGCTAGTTGGTTCTATATGATTGTATTATACAGAGTGAATAATCGCGGTATCGTAAAGAAAGCCCTCAATGTCTAGTAAATCTGTTAAAACATATTGAAAAATATAAATGTGTAATTGTTAAAATAACGCACTGAACTATATTGACACTAGTCCACTCTGCTTACTTCTATGGAAAATCTAATAGTTCTATGTTTAGAATATATTGGTCGTCAAAATTGATAATGAAATCCTAGATAATGTTCAATGCATTAGTTGTTATTTATGAATTTCGTGCAATTGGTTTCCTTTACAAATTTGAATTAAGCCAAAACAACAAGGAATTCATATTATTTCGTCTCAGTTGTTATTTTAACTTATAAATCTATATGACATGATTAGTTTCATTAACGTATTAACGTATCATCGTAGTATACGTGTAAGAGAGGAAAATATTGTAAACCATCAGTTACAAAAACATCTGTTAATTTAAGTAACACTTAAAATACGTAAATGTGTATATAGTTTTTTTTTTAACGAAAGGTAAATAATCATGAAATAAAAAATTATATTTGCATAACGGTAATTCATATTTTCTATAAACATCCGTAACAAATAATCACGGTGATTCCTTTCTTTTATGACAGTCAGAAATCGAAAGAAAAAAAGAAGAATATCAACTTTCTGAGTATGTCATACTTTTTAAAAAAAACATTCTTCATTGGTGTCATTCATATCTGTAAATATCGTTAAGTTGTTAATTATTAAACTTCTATTCATCAAATTAGGTTTTAAATCTGTTTTTATTATTGTTTTAAGTATCATATTGTGTATCTCGACTCTTCTTTGTCTAGAACTTCGGTTTATGTGGTGTATGTCCACATTCGCCCAATTATTTACGTAAGAAAGCCTCATTACGCTTCAGAGTTATGCGTCATACGTTGATAGGTCATTGTATCTGTAAATCGCCACTGTTATATCTCGGAATCGACATTGTTATAACTGGAAAATTTGGATCCGTCGGTAGTGTTGTAATATGGTAGCCAACTGTTTTATCTGGACAGTCGTCGCTGTTATGCACGTATCGGGTCTGTTGAATTTACAGTCTTATTGGCTTTACTTGAGAATTAGGAACCACTGCAATTCTTCTATCCCACTTCTTATATCATGCTGGTTGGCGGCCTATGCTCCTCCACGAGGAGTAACAGGCGTAAGTAAGTAACTTCTTATATTGAGAAATGAGAACCCACTACAATTCCTACGACACAAAGAGCGAACACAAAAGACTAGTGCAATGAAGATTTATTGACTCCCAAAAAATACGTTTCCAGACAAGCTCCATTATCACAACCAAATCGCTTTAACCTTAGACCACAATACGATGATTTACAGGCCAAGTTTCATACACCTAATAATATCACATGTGAGAGGAAATACGTAGAGTTGCTGTAGAAAAAACAAAGTATATTTTACCTGAATTAACACGGTGAATAAAATTGTCACACTGAACGACAGTTCACACTTGTTGTATAAAGCAAAGTTTATACTAGATTAACCGACCTTACCATTTGTTTAGATTTCATTTTCATAAGGTTTACATTCTTTTCCGATGCACACTTTAGTAACGATCGTTACCGTAAAATCTCTCGGTCACGTAATCAATTGTGAGTTTCTATTCAAAGAATCTGAATTATTTTGGACTTCAGTATGTGGATATGTGTTTCAAAACTTGCAGAAGGGTAAAGAATTGGTTGAGATTTGAAATTGAGTTTGTTTTCTGTTCCTGAGTTGCGTTTTGGCAACGAATAATTATGGAAGCTAGTATTTTCAATATTGTCAAACCGAATTCTTTGTGGTTTTCACTACCAGTATTTTTCCTTTTCTTATAGATTCGGTTGATCGGTGGTTGTGACCGGTGGTATGTGATCATGTCCTCCAACTCTTATACTTTAGAAAATATTTTGGTCAACTTTTACTAAAATTAGACCATTACGTTTAAGATTGCTTAATTTAAGATATCAGATTCGGTTTGTTTCTTAAGCTCCATGCTAAATAGGACTTTTCCAAATTCCCTAAAAGTTAGTAGATGTATCGTTTCTTCCATTTTATTAAGACGCTTGAAAATACGTTCTTTCACTAAACCATAATCGGAGTTCAAATATGCTTTATAATAAGCAGAAGTCTTCCGTCGAACTTGTGCAACCACATTTGGCTTCAGTGTTTTCTGTTTGTGTTCACTGTTTTATCATTGATTGAGATAATGTTTCTTTCTTTGCTTCAGACTGCTTGCTAGAAATAAGTATCTTGACGTTTAAATATTCCATGTCGTTGTTACTCATGTTCAGTTATGCCTCATAGGAAAACTTGTTCTTTAATTCACGTACTTACTATGTAACTAAACACATATGTGCTCTATAATGAAGAAAAGTAAGTAAACAATCGATGGGTTTCAGTGTTCTTCGTTTATGCGTTTAAAATTTCTATGGTTTTGTAGAAAACTGAATCCTAATGTTATGTGGCGCATATATATTGGCTGTGTGGCGCATATATATTGGCGCTCTCTTGTACCAATATTTATGTGTTCAAATAAATAAATAAATAATAAATAAAATGTTATTCTAGATAACAAATTGCACTAAATTAGTACTTTTAATAGTTAATCAAAAATTAAGCAAATTAATTCATACTTACAACCCTCTATTTTCTTTAAAATCATAAACTTAATATTCTATATGGTGTCATTTTACGTTTTAATAATTTTTAGAATTTTTTGTCAATCTGAAGTTCATGGATTAGATACCCAAACATTGTCAATGCATTTAAATTCTCATCATTACCAACCTTCCTATCCAGATGTTATCGAAAGGTGCCCACTAACCAGACATATGTCAGTTTGTTCTCTAAAAATGTTGTACTTAGAAGACTATAAAAAACTGAAGAAATACACAAACTTCGAACAGTATAAAGCAGCGCATAGGTCCATTGAATCAACGTTCATTGACATTCAGAGAGGATGTTGTGCTGATGGACCGCATGATCGATTCAAGTATGTACTCTTTAATTAAAATTTTTAAATGATCCAGTGTTCTCAGTGCAGATATTTTTCCGTGTGTTTGCTATTTCGATGGATTGGATGTAAAAACCGGTGCTTCAATTCAATTGCATGAATGGGTTTTTCACAACAATAGTGCTTACTCAACTAGCAATAACTTTCTGGATAATTTCCTTACTCAACTAGCCTACTTTGCCCGACAAGATAAACATCCAAATCTGTGTAGAATTTTAGGTGTTGAATGTACCAGAAACTTACCTGCTTGTGGTAAGTCTAAAAATTGCTATCATAATATTCATTTCGATAATGTTCTTCCATATATTCTTGGAGCTACAGATCGTAGGGTTATTTAAACGTATGACACGTACTAATGAAGATATATTTCATAAATGCACATTAAGCCGATTCTTTCTAAGGTTAAACTATGGTAGGAAGTGTATGTCTTTTAGAGCAAGTTTAAGTAATTACATACACACATCTGTAATGCATGGAAGCTAAGTTATTTGTTCATGACTTTTAAGTCTTCTCTTTGTTGGATTTCTTATTCAGATTATAAGTCGAATGAATAATATATGCCAATGATCATAAACTGTGAAATTTTAATATTATTCAAACTAGTAAACATTGTTCAAGAATCTTTAAACAAGAGATAAACATTTTATTTCACTGCATCCACTGATAATAAATTTCTGGTACGCTTGTCTACAATAAGTAAATTTGAATCATAGCGACCAATGTTAGTCCCATTTTGTCAGGAATTATATCATTTCAGATATTATTGGTAAACAAACGAAACCTCAATTTTATGCTCTTTTTTGTTTAATTGCTTTGCTTTGTAAGTGTACTGGGTATTACCTGACTTGTTGAATCTCAGTTAATATGATATGTTTCTAGCCAGTCGTCTGGTAGGTCTGTTCTAAAATATTTAGTATTGTACTTAATTATCCATGTGTCGCCATTACAAGGTTGATAGTTTCACTCGTAATGTATTATGACCATCTTAAATCAAATGTACTGTATCACATCATTCTATATAATTTGTCAGATTTTCGGTGTAGATTCTTACTAGACCTAAATCTTATTTTCTTAGACATAAAGTTTTTACATAGTGCCTCATAGTTCACCGGGATGTGTAGCGTTTCCTAAGCACTGAATACGTCGAAAATATCCAGATATTTGTCCTTAAATGTATTCTTAGTTGCGGAGAGAACTGTTCGAGTTGAAGTAATAATAATTTTGCTTACTATACGCGTGTCACCTCACTTTGTTTAATATTTAATTATTTTTATGTTAGTTGTCTGTTTGTTAATATGACCAGCAGACAGTAAATCCTCAGATACTGTAATTAGAACATGTGTTACGTTGCCCAACTATCTCCTACCTTGAAGCGCTATTTCGTCTGGAGTAGGATTAGGTTGGATGAAAGCTAGGGATTAGTAAACTTAGACGTGACGTCGGTTAATGAACCGTTTTATCAGGTCATGTTGATAGGTGCTGACTACTTGGTGCTTAGACACGTTATGACATGGCTCAGAACCGGGTACAGTGACACAGTTATTGATTATCCGTTTAAAAGACCTTGGGGATGCTATGTCCTGATCGTGGATGTCTACGTTTCCTCTCTGTAAACTCAATTGATTTCTGGTAAGTATATCAGTGTTCGATATTGGTCCCAGATATGCCGAAACCACATACATCACTGAGATTTTCATCCATTTTTACATTAATGCAAATCTAATAGCAGGCCTTCCTAGTTAAGCGAGTTTTGTTTCTGAATGAATCAATATAAAATCTTTCGCTATCTATAATTTTGATGTTAATTTATCTGGGGATAATATGATGTTGGTTTATTTACTTATTTATTTATTTATTTGAACACATAAATATTGGTACAAGAGGGCACCAAATATATATGGTTTCAAATCCGGTTTTACTGACGCTGACTGCATATTGTTTTACTCGGTGGTGCTGCTACCATGTTTTAGTAAATTAAAAAAGCTATTATTAGTATGCAATTTTCCAAGCTGTAATTGCATTAGCTTACAGGTTAATAAGTATAATATTTATCATGCCATTACAACATTTTGCCACCATATTTCGTCCCATTACATAAGCTACTATCTTTGATTGAAATAAAAAAAGTGTTTTGTTGATTCGAAATTTGAGAAAAACAGTGTCTCGTTTAAGGCTTATTGAATCTTGAAGATCTTTAGTTGAAAATTCCAATATGATGTGCAAATTTTTAACTTAGCATAGTTTCTTGTAATATTAGGCTTCAAGCCTAACATATATATGGATAATAGTTTCCGGCTGCCTGAACCGAAATGAATAAAGGTGGATTTGAGGTTTTTAATGCCAATTGTATCAACAGGTGAGTTTTAGTTTAACTATTTGACTAATGTACAACTCATTTAAATTAGATACCTCTTTTACGACAAGTGTTTCATTCTGTGTATTTCTCGAATCATAATTCACCATTTTCACTTCCAATAAGAATAATCGGTGCAGCCGGTTTAACATATGCTCTTAAATTTGAATATTACTGCATTTGTAAGTTTTTATTTACTGATAGAGATGTCAAGTTGGCAGCTATAAAAGTACAGAATGAAGTCTTTATTTGTGCGATACATTGCTTATGCAAGTACTATCGTTCATTCTCAATATGAAGTTGTTATTGGAACGTGCGTTTATTCAATACTACTTATAATTTACTGTTAGTCACTTCATTTTTCTCTCTATGTAGTGGTTAAGTTAGATAAACTTCTATAGACAAACACTATCGGTTCACTATTTTTTACTCATTGTAACATCAAACTTGTAGTTCAAAGTATTGTTATAATTGACGATTTTCTAAATCCTTAGTTCTACATAATATCTTACGGGTTTCAGAGGTTCATTCCAACATTGGCGTTCTAGTGTTTTTTCTCATATCGGGCATTTTTAACGGAATAAGATTAAAAGCAATATTAGAATAAGTGGCAAAATGTAAAGTTTTAGTTATATTTTATCATAATATTTTTACTTTTCGAGGTATTGATAATGATGCCTATCATCAGAACATGGAGAAATCATGGGAGAACTGGGATGTTATTCGTTTAATCACGGAACGTCCAAAAGGCACAAGTTTGGAGTCTATCGGATCTGGAGTACTTCCTCCAGTTGCTAATGAGAAACTTGGTCCTAACTTATTCTCCGTTTCAAAACCTCTCGAAATCGATGATAAAAAATTGGTGTGGTTACGTTATGTAATACACCAGATCGTTAGTGCAGTTTCTTGGCTTCATACCTACTCTTTCGTGCATAGGAATTTACATGTGAGTTGCATGTGCGTGCATGTGCTAATTACCATACTTCTGATTCATAATTCCTGCAATCATGGCCAATACCACAGTCGCCGTGGCGGCGTATACATTTGGACTTCACTGATTCACTTCACGGGCAAAGTTACCTTTTGGCAGTTGATGCATATAGAAAATGGGCAGAAATTTTTCTCATGGAACATCCAACTGCAAATTTCAGTCACAAAACCACGTCAACTGTTTAGTCGTTTTGGGGTCCCAGAATTAATATTTATCGACAGTTGAACATAGTTTATGTCTGTTATCTCAGAATTTTATCGGCGGAACGTAATCAATCATATTCGAACACCTCCGTTCCATCCCCAATCCAAAATTCAAGTAGAATGCTTTGTTAGTACATTTAAAAATATTTTGCTAAAATCAGAGAGGTCAGGAGGCTATCAAAGAGATTTTAGAGAGGTTTCTCCTTATCTATCATTCTAAACCAAATCTTCAGACAATTAACGGGTTGTATCCAGCAGAAGCTTTACTTGGCAGAAAATTATGAACACGTTTCTATCCCATATGTCCGATACCAGCTCTTGAGCCTCAGCGAAACAGATCAATGGATAAGCAATTCAATCGACATTATGGGGCACAAAGACGATTGCTCACCGTGGGTCAAAAAGTAGTTTTTATGGCTTATCGTGGCAAACATTCTTTATGGATAGCTGCTCAAGTTGTGCCAAATTTAGGAAATGTGGTTTACGAGGTTTCAGCTAGCTAAGAAGCTTGGGTGTGTCGTGCTAACCGACTAAAAGTAAATTCGATCCCCAACAACGGCACCTAACATAGAATACCTCTTGATATCTTTGAAATCGAAACCACAGAAACGGACAGGCAAACGAAGTGATACCATTGCTTTATTGCCTAGAGGGTAGAAAGATCAAGAGTACATATCAGTCACTCGGTTGCAGGCGGACCCTAACACCATTTCCTACGAATCTACTCAAAGTGGAGGTATTAACTGGACATTACTTACTAACTACCTACACCTGTTACCTCTCGTGGAGGGGCATAGGCCACCCACCAGGATTCTCCATTCAACTCCCGGACAATCCTCTCCAGTACTTTTAAGATGCTATTCATCCTTTTTATGTTTGCGTCTAATTCTCGACGCGGTGTATTTCTTGGTCTTCCCCTTTTCCGTTTCTCTTCAGGATTGTAGTTAAGCGCTTGTCTCGAGATGCATTTTGACTATTTGCGTAATGTATGTCCTGTCCACTTCCAGCATCCTTCCTTAATTTCCTTTTCATATGGAAGTTGGTTTGTTCCGTCTGATAGTAGGCTGTTGTTTGTGGTATCTGACCAACAGACATTGAGTATCTTGTGTAGGAAATTGTTTATAAATGCTTGTACTGTTTTGATGATGGTTATAGTAGTTCTCGAATTTCCAGCTCCGTACGGTAGGATGATCTTAACGTTCGTATTGAAGATTCGTATTTTGAAATTGATTGACGGTCGTTTTGAGTTCCATGTATTCTTCAACTGTTGAATGCTGTCCTTGCTTCACCAATTATTGCCTTTACGTCTGCATCTGATCCTCCTTGTTCGTCGATGATGCTGCTCAATTACGTGAAAGTTTCCACCTCCTACAGAGCTTCTCCATCAAGTGTGATTGGGCTGTTGTTCTCTGCGTCGTACTTGAGGATCTTGCTTCTTCCTTTGTATATATTAAATCCTACTGATGCTACACTGACTATCTTCACATGCATTTGTTGGTGGGTATGTGATAAAGGAGCTAGGTCATCTGTGAAGTCCAAATCGTCTAGTTGCACGCAAGCTGTCCATCGTATTCCGTTCTTCCTCCACCCCGAAATCGAGGTCTTCACAATTCAGTCGACCACCGGAAGAAAGAAAAAGGGCGAAAGTCTTGTCTGACAACGGTCGTCACTTGAAATGCGCCTGTCAGCTGTCCTCCATCCACGACGTCACAGTGTAGTCCGTCGTACGAATTCCAGTTGTGTTGACGATCTTCGCAGGTACACCATATAGTCGAAGAAGGTTTCATAATGTTCTATCCACACTGTCAAACACCTTCTCATAGTCAATGAAGTTTATGTATAGCGACGAGTACCATTCAACTGTAAGTTCACAAGTGATCGATAGTGTGGCAGTTTAGTTGGCAAACGATTGATCCTTACGAATTCCGACCTGTTGATCTCGAAGCTGGACGTCTACTGAATCTTTCATCCGGTTCAACAACACTGTTAAAAGCCTTTCATTATACTAACAATAGTGTGATGCCTCTATAGTTCTCACATTTACTCAGATCTCCTTTCTTCGGTATCTTGATGAGGTGCCCTTTTTTCCAGTCTGTCGGCACTTGTTCCTCCTTCCAAATCTTCCTAAATGGGACGTGGAGTATTTTGCAGTTACTTCTATATCTGATTTGATTGCTTGGATTGGTATACTGTCAGGTCAGCACTGACAAGTTGTATCTCCTTATTTCCGTAGCTATTTGATTAGTCCTCCTGGTCTCCCACATTATCCGGGCATTCCATGTACCTGTAATTATTGCTGGTCGGATTGTTAAAAGGGACATGGGCCTTGTGACTTCCGAGTAATCTCGGCTTTTATGAGGCGTCATTATTCTTTTGAATGAAGATCCTTCAGCTCGGATGACAGAGTTGAAATAGTTTTAATTGTTTTATATTGTTAGCGTTTTTTTAGCAGGGTGTTTTCCTATGACATGGGGTTGCTGACATCATTCCTAACCCTCCTGTTTTACATGGGCTTGCGACTGACAGTAAATCTAGCAGAGCTACAGGCAGAGTTGGCGGGATACAGATAGGATTAAAACATGTTCCGTGCAGGATTGTGTCGGGGTACGCCATTTCTTAGTCAATGAGCGCTAGTGGATACTTGAAGAAGACATTAGAATCTCACGTAATAATTGTATATATGCTAACGTTTTTCTTATTGTGATTCCTACTTCCATGCAACCTGGTTTATTCAGAATTTAATTACCTTCCTGTTCAACTGTGTTCTGAAATAGGAACTTGTCAAGTAAAATATAGTGTCCAAAGAATACCAAGCAATAAGAGTATCTGGGTCGTAATAAGATAAACTATAACATACTAACAATTTTGTTGACATTTTTTATTACAATATCGTTCAACTTTTGTTGGCTGCCTGCATGCATGAGCCGATAGAAAGTGGCTTTTTCAGCTCGTTTGCTAAAGATTTGGTTAATATAAAGTTTTCCCAACTAATTAATAACAGTATAGATAGTCATCAGTGATTATGGTTTGAATTTGCTGGAAGAACGTATTACAGAAGAAATTTACCTGCAGTAATGGAGCAGTAGTTACATCCTATGTTATTATTTCAAAGGAGTGGCCGATCTTGTCTAGTATGAAATTATATATTGTTCAGTGAAGGTAACTCGACTTTATACATTTGAAGGACATTCATACTTAACTAAGATTAGATAAGATGCTGTGTCTACATTCTGATAGGTTCTTCTGTGCGTCATGAGTCCTCGAAAACTGTCTCAGCACATCTTCTGTTAAACGTAAATCATAAAACCCTATCTTACTCTTCAAACTTTTCATCAGGAAAAAAGTATATTATAGACACTACAATAGACAACTTGTTTCCCATTACCCTTGTGATCCACATACAACGTTTTCTTATATGATGATTATTTCAAGCTCATTGAATAAACATCTTAAAATGGTTCGTTTTTTGATTTTGTTTATTTTAGATAGTCATCAGTAATAAATAAGTATTCATATTTTTTATATCATTTCAGCCTTCAAATATATTTGTGGACGAATTAGGTCATGTCACATTATGCAGATATGAATTCTTTGCGAGGTAATAACTTAATTGTTGGTTCTATTTTTGTAGACTGTTAGTGCTTTGTAGCTGGGACCTTTGTTTTAATCACCAATTTATGTAATTGTACCTAGACTAGTCGGTCTTTAGATACTTTTCATTTTACGAAATCAGATGAGTGGAATATTAATTTCATATTATAATGTGTTATGAGCAGGTGTATTGTGGAAAAAGTCGAAGTGCTGTTACAATCCATTTCGGTTGAATCCACATTATATCTTATCAAAATTGTTCTTTCACTTCGATAGCCTGCGGTTACAACGTAGAATCTAATTGTATTATATGGGTCTTAAGCAGATTGGTAAAATTATAGATGTTCATTGACTGAAGTGATCATAATATTCATCACGTCTGCCTAACCAGTGCCTTACTCAAGGTATGATCTCTGGTGTAGGAGAGAGTTGGCAGAAAACCAAGGACAATCAGACCAAGATATGGAGTTAGTTCGTGAATTAACTGATTATTCGACCAAGCCGTGTTGTTGGGTGCCAACTATTAGATCTGAGTCTTCGCAATTATCGTAACCAATGGTTGGAGACGTTATGTGACATGCTTCAGAATCGGTGCAGATGTTTTCAGTTGTATTCACTTTTTGTCTTCCCGTAGATCTTGAGTTTTGAAATCATCTTATTTTTTGTTCCGGGAATTCACACCTATCGAATGATATTGTCCAGGTTCATTGATTAATTTATGTATTTATATTCACTCGTTGGTTCCCTCTTGTTGGAACAATGCTTTCAGCGCATTTGCTACTACATACTCTTAATGTGTCCTTCAAGGTTGAGTAATCGTTTTATGATTTTTAAGCTTTCTAGTTTACCATTACACATCAACGGTTACTATTTTACATTATGTAAGATTTGTTTGATTTCTTCACAATCGAAGAACATTCTTCACATTAGTCAGTACGTTATGCAACCAAACTATTACTTGATGTCGGCGATAGTTGCCTATAGTAATTTCGGTTTATTTCCCCCCCCAATTTTTAGATTCCAAATAAGCAGTTTTAAGTTTATTAGTGTAGTATTACTTGAAAGGTGTTACACAGTCAGTGTATGAAATACATACTCTAAATTAACCGACTTTGTTTGCGTTCCATAATTGTGTATCATCTATTAAGAAGCTAGCGTATTATTTGCTGAAATAGTTAATGATTATTTAAAATGACTTTGGATAAATGATTATGTGGTATATTACATATTCCAAAAGGTTCCGGTTTTTTTCCTATATTTTAAATTGATTCATGTTTTGTTTATCAGCTTTTAAATTGTTTTCTGTATTTAGACTTGATCAAGTCGTTTCTGAAAATTTAAAACAACTAGGTGTTCAGTTACCCCAAAAAGCATATCATTGTGCTGTTCACTACTTTAAACGTTCCGTACAACAAAGAGATCTACATCAACTTGTAAGTGCTTTCATCGTCAACGATATTTTAGCTGTTTGAATCTTATATTGTGTTTGTTTTTTGCAAACACGTGGGTGAATTGTATATATATATATATATATATATATATATATATATATATATATATATATATATATATATATATATATATATTGAGAACCCTGAACTAGTCTTTTAATTTTAATCTACCTAGGATGCGTTGTTTAAATTAATCTAAGTTATTCTATAGGCTTTAGCAGGATAAGTAATTGAAATGCTGGGTTTATTAATGGATTCGTATAAAGTAGAGAATCTCATTTTGAATTCACATTATTATCTATGATATGTTAGAATTAGATCTTGTAAATCTAAAAACCAAAGAAATGCGATAACAGATGTTCTAAAAACTTACACAGAGCCAAAATTCTCCTGAGTACGATGTCGAAATTATTGTATGGAATAAACAGACTCAAATATATCAGCTACAGTTTTTGTTTATGTTAGCAAGAAATAGATTAAATCAAAGAGCGTTCCATACTGATTTACGCTGAAGCATGCTTATTGCCACATTTATAGCCAATCAGCACTAATGAATGTATGGCAAAGACTAAAATCTTACTGTGCAAAAATTATGAATGTAATAACATTTTTCTTACTATATGAACTTTTCTGTTTTGTTTTGAAACATAGTCGCTTTTCTGTTCAGATCGTGTTCTTATTTGGGAACCAATCGAATTGAGTGAAGTGTCTGAGGAATACTAGAAAATGGAAACAACTAGGTGAAATAAGCAAGATTTAACAGCTTGTTTTGAACTAGGTTTAAAATTACCCTTAAGCGAAAATCCAAGATACAATCGGCCTATAATAGAGTCCTAAAAGATTATTAAACGTAATAAGTAACAATGTCACAGAGATTAAATATTTGATGCAATTTTGTACAGTTAAAACGAAGATGTGGCTGTATTGTGTATACAGCAGAAGTAGTCGGAACTTGGTAATTGAGCTTAGCTTGTAAACTAAATTGTGGAAATAGTATGTATATGCTTTGCAGTACTAACCTCGTTAAAGATTTTAAACGTTACTTCAATTTAATTTAGTGGAGTACTTTGTGAAATGGTTAGGCTATTGCTCATTGTTTAATAAATGGTTCTCGATATGTTAGCGACTATTCTATCATGGCAGTATACGTAAAAATTATGTTTGAAATAATCTCAGCAATTAAAATTTGAATAAGTTCAAAATCTCACCCCTCAAACTAGTTCGAGCTTGTTTAGGGAAATAAAAAAAAATCAACACAACACAATATATACAGTTTAAAAATAAATTACACTAAAAGTTTGTCCAATCCAATTCCGGTGTTTGTTTTGTGTATGATAAGGTCATGAGATATTTGGTGTGAATAACGTTCACATTATGAAAAAGTTCATAAATGTTTGTGTATTTGTTTTCTGTTGTTGTTAGAATGTTATAAAAATAATGCCTTTAGCCACTACTACATAAGTGTAAATCGTTTTTGTTTATTAGAAAACTAATAGTACATATGAGTAAAATAATCTAGTCGAAATATATGTAGATTCAGTTTTATCACATCGTTAACTATGATTTTTGATTAACGATTGTTGTAGGTAAATCTAAAAGTAATGTGTAAATAGGCGCTCATTTTGTTGGAATCAAGCTTCTGATGGTATAGATGGGGTGATGTTAAAACCCAACTACCTACTTGTTAATCAACAGTTGCCATAGCTTAACTCACTGTATACCATCTATTGACAATATACTGACTCATCCATATATAAAAAGCTTCAGCTGATAGTCTTTCCTTATAAGCACCAAAACCTTTCTGAAGTATTGATATTCCTTCGAAGTGTATCTTGTATCTTGTCTCGAGTGAGCGTGGTGTTTTTAATAATCTATTCTGAAGCTTCTTAAGTTCTGGCGAATTAGGAATATGTTTCAAGCATTGATTGTGTTTCTTCACCTTGACATTCAGTTGTATCGATGTCTCTCATATATACAGTATTACACCTATAACACCTAGTTTCGTAGACATAATCTTGTTACGTTTTTGGTATCGATCTGATACCATGTATCACTAGCTGAAAAACTTATTTATTCATCATTATGTATTCAGTAAGATTATTATTCCACTAATTAAAGAACTAATCACATTCTCTATAGAGTTTATGTAACACTGTTTATTGTTGTCCCTGTAATTTACTCGGTTATTTATGAGTAGTAGTTTAGTTTGCATAAGCTTTTATAGCTTTTCCTGAAACTTATTTGTTAATGTTATTCTGAGTTTCGCTGACGAATTTTATTCTATTTTCACATAACCAGGGTCTTGTCATACTTCATATTCTTATTGGACCATTACCTTATGCCAATTCAACTGAAATAGCATCATTAATATCTGAAGTGTTGGACGGTCTGAAAACAACTCAACCGGTTTTTAGAGACTTTCTGCAAACATGTTTATCTGCTAATCATAATGATCATACAACATCCGTTGTTGATTATTTAATGTCACACCAATTCTTGCATGACTCTATTCCTTGTAATTTTTTGTCAACGAAATTAACCAAAACAGAATTAAGTTCAAGTACAATGACTAGAACATCAAAGCAGATTAATACTTTAAACAATCTTGGTAAGTATACAAGTTAGTAAGTTTCTGATGGTTTGTAATAGATTTTCATCTTCTCAGTTGAGTTATTTGATTCATTCACAATGTATAATATGTATAAGCTCTCATTTCTAATTACTTTATTCTATTTCCATAATATAAAATATACATGAATTGTGGCGAAGTGTGTGCCAAACTTTCCTATGATGATTATCTTTTTCAGCGACCAAAATAAAATTATTTTAGTAGGAATAAACAATCTGCTCAAATTGTAGAGTTAAAAATATATTCCTTAAATGATTGTAATGCTTCACAGAATACTGCTTTCTCGTGCTACAGACATTTCGCTGGACAAGCATCTTTGTTAACAGAAGTGTGAACTGAATTTTTACGTTAGTAGTGTTTGTTTAGATTCTTTCGTTCTCCGGTGCCATCTGCTTGTCGAAAATTTGCAAACTATTGTAAATTCAGAACATGAAATCAGTTATGAATCACTATAGCGTGTCGTGCTTGAATATCTAGACTACCTGTTCCTGCCATCTAGATATTTCAACAAGTTACCTGTTTTTACGCGTTCATGAAAAGCTTACAACCATTCGCTGTACAACTTACACAAAAGTACATTCAGAGACATCGCGTTAGCTGATAATATGCATTGAAAATAATGTACATTATTCAGATGTCGATTTCTGAACTGCTAACATCTAACTAACGATCACTTATTAATAAGGTGAACTGTCTTCACTTCCTACCATGTCTAAACATGTGTAATCACAATTCAAGAATCCTGACTAAATGATTTACAAGACTATTGCTCAGTATCACTATAAGATTTCAATATTTATCGTCAGAATTGATCAAGCAATAAGAAAAGGAAACTTGTTGAATTGCTTTGTGCTGAGAATGCTATATTGTACCAGAAACATAAAATTGAATAAACCCATTAATAATAACAATGATAATAATACTATCTAAATAATAATATCATCTATCGAATCGTTTTATTTGCATCATGCTAATAAGAAATTTCTGCTTTTGTATGGCAACTCAATCACTAATTATAGACTCACGTACTCGATTATGAAATGCATTTGTCCTAGAACTTAATATTACCTAATTGCTCAAATAGAATCCGATCAACCTTCAGCTTAAATAATTGTTATTAATCAGATGCATCAACACTCTATTCCTTTGCTATCTACTACAATTTATCGAAAACAGAAAAAAAATTGACTAACTCGTTTATTTACGATTTTTATCATCATTCTATTGAAACTATGGAAAATAATTCCACTTGTTAAATGGAATTTATCATTAGTTACTGTTAGAACGGCTTACTTTTCGTTTATTATCTAACTTAGCGAAATAATCTATTATCAGTGCTGGTTAGACTAATTCTATTGCATTTTAAATATATTAGGTTTTTTTGAGTTTCAATGTATACCACTCACTTTTCATATGATTATAATGTGTATGACCTCACAACTTCTCAAGCTTTTGAGTAAATAATTGTGAAATCTATTTTTTTTTCATTTCTCATTGGTTTATTGATTTTTCTTCCGTAGATGTACAAACTGTTGAAGGGAATGCAACTTCTAAATGCCCTCGATTATTTGAGGATTTTACTGATTTTGTTCTCATTGGAAAAGGTGGTTTCGGTTGTGTACTAAAGGTATTATTACACTATATTTACCAAACGTTTTAATTTTTACATGTTTTCTCGATAGATATATACATATATGTGTGAAGTGTTAACAATTTTGTGTGAAACAGTAGTTAAAACATTTTCATTCAAATAAAGTATGTTAAACACGTTATGTTTTTGTTTATCATATATTTAGTTTATAAATTAAGTCCATTGACTACCTTTCACCTCATTTGTCTAATTTTGTAATGAAGTTTGTCAAGTTTGAATATAATTGCACTGTGTATACATGTTGTTATAAAAAGACATAGTAACTCTTTCAGTATCAGTGGTATATTAAAAAAAGCATTTTATGTTCTGAGTATCTAAAAATATGCAACATATTTTCAAACTATTTAGGTTAAGTTTTTGAAAAATACACGGATTGTTTGGAAAATAGTTCTCAAATTTCGTTCGTTACTAATAAGCAAAATATTATGGATTTTATCGGTGCCCGACTCATGTACGTGGCATAAACCCCGAAATGCCCTGGTACCGCTGAATGTGTGAAGAGTCCACTATCCTTCTCGAAATGCTATGTCTACGCCCATATAACTACTGCTAGAGAAGTCCTAATCAGTGCGTTCTCTCGGCTTGGGTGTTGTTTACAGAAATAAGAAGACGGAAATCGATTGTTTGCGGCATAATTCAGATTGGTTGGTACGGAAGGTCCGCTTAGAGCGGTTAGAAAACCTTGATTATTAAAAATAATCCTCATTGACTTCATAGTTCTAAAGGAACGAATTACTTGTAAACCTGTTTTAGCCACCGGGTTACATAAAACTGCATTTCCTGACGTTTCTCCATTGCCTTGTGAACTAGATCTCCAATGCAAAGGACATAGAGCGGCCCCCTAAGAATACCATCTGCTTCTGAATAAGCACCAGGACAGTATTGGGAGCCGCATACAAATATGTTTATTAGTAAAGGAAATATTCTCATTCGCCCTCGTTGTACGTACAGGAAACTGTAATACGTCTGGAACAAATGGATATTTAATTTAGCACTTTTATCTATGTGATCTATTGTAATGCACCCGGTTTGTCGACTGTCTATTTGATCTAGAATGATACGGTTCTGATTTTGAAATGTTTTTTTTAATGATAAAGGCGCGGAATATAATCGAAGACCGTGATTATGCTATCAAATGTGTGAGAGCATCTAAAAGTCAAACAAATACATTATTTCGTGAAATTCGCACTCTTTCAGGGTTACAACATGAAAATATAGTCAGGTAATTTTGTTTTTGTTTTGTGTGAATATTCATTTCACACACTTTATCAGCAAACTCGTTAGTCCAGTTTTTATGAGGATTAGACAGTACATTTATTTTATTACTCATATTACTCAATATATCTGAACGTTTCAATGATATTGCATCTGAGAGTGCAGTGGTTGTCATCTGTGGTATTTGATGATTGTCACTTTATTGCAAATTGATTGGCGTTGAATTTACATCATTAGATTTCAACTTGGTGGTTCTAATGGCCATTGGTTTATCTCGAGACAGTAAAGTTCTGGGTTCGATCTCTGCCAAGTTCCATACTAAGACAAAAAAAGTGTCTGACCGTTTCTGGTACCTTATTTGTTATTAATATGTGGTGGATACCATCTACAAACATTACACTCTTTTAACTTGATTAACGGCAAAGTCTTCATCTTTATTACAATCAATATAAATATGCTTGGTGTTAGAACTTGAACTTTCCTTGTTGTTTTCCACACCCTTTTCTATTGATATTGTATGTAAGTGTTGTATTCTAATTATTCTATCTCTCCTGTCGTTAATTGTTTTTATTATCTTGTAAGAAAATTATTGTTTATCAACCACATGTTTTTAAACCGATTGATCGGACTGACTAAATACTAACCATCTTTGTTATTATTAAATATGATGCATAATTAGATGCTATTTGATAACCATTGTCAGCTCGTACTGAACGGATCTATTGTCCACCTTTTAAATGTAACCACGGAAACGAATAATTTGACGTTTCTACCGTTTAACAATGAAGTACACTGTACTGCTAACATCTATTAAAGTTTCATTGTCAACGACACCAACTAGCCGCCGTTAAAATATTGTGCGTATTTAATCGGTTCAGTGCATTTATCTTGTTGAAAATCATCGCTTCATCAAATCGATGCCTCCAAAATAAGCAAAAATTTTCATAACTGCATATTCTTAAGAGAGGTTTTTTAGACTTTTCAGTAGATGTCATCCTACCATTAATAAAAATGGTCAAGACCATCAGACAAATCAAGAGTGATAAAGCAGCAGGACCTGGCAATATACCGGGCGAAGCAGTGAAATCAGACATAGAAGTAACTGCAAAATACTCCACGTTCCATTTAGGAAGATTTGGAAGGAGGAAAAAGTGCCGACAAACTGGAAAAAAGGGCACCTCATCAAGATACCGAAGAAAGGAGATCTGAGTAAATGTGAGAGCTATAGAGGCATCACATTATTGTTAGTATAATGAAAGGCTTTTAACAGTGTTGTTGAACCGGATGAAAGATTCAGTAGACGTCCAGCTTCGAGATTAACAGGTCGGAATTCGTAAGGATCAATCGTTTGCCAGCTAAACTGCCACACTATCGATCACTTGTGAACTTACAGTTGAATGGTACTCGTCGCTATACATAAACTTCATTGACTATGAGAAGGTGTTTGACAGTGTGGATAGAACATTATGAAACCTTCTTCGACTATATGGTGTACCTGCGAAGATCGTCAACCCAACTGGAATTCGTACGACGGACTACACTGTGACGCCGTGGATGGAGGACAGCTGACAGGTGCACTTCAAGTGACGACCGGTGTCAGACAAGACTTTGGCCCTTTTTCTTCCGGTGGTCGACTGAATTGTGAAGACCTCGACATTGGAGGGGAAGAACGAAATACGATGGACAGCTTGCGTGCAACTAGACGATTTGGACTTCACAGATGACCTAGCTACATTATCCCATACCCACTAACAAATGCATGTGAAGATAGTCAGTGTAGCATAAGTAGGATTTAATATATAGAAAGGAAGAAGCAAGAGCCTCAAGTACGACGCAGAGAACAACAACGCAATCACACTTGATGGAGAAGCTCTGTAAGAGGTGGAAACTTTCACGTAATTGAGCAGCATCATCGATGATTAAGGAGGATCCAATGGAGATGTTAAGGCAATAATTGGTGAAGAAAGGATAGCATTCTTACCGTTAAAGAATGATAATAAGGTTTCAGTTGTCTAGTTGTAATACATAAAGTTTTTCATAAAGTCAAAGCAGATTATTAATTATCTTTTTTTATATAATAGTTATTTGTAAGGGATTTTTGAAGATTGGTTTTATTTATACATCCTGGTTTTCAGTGGTACCTCAGATAAGATCGGTCTGGGAGAAATAGGACGTATAATGTAATAATTTTTATCTGCAAAGTTATGTTTTATGACTTTTTCCCAATTATTTAATATTAGTAAATGACTAATTAAATTCTCTCTCTCTCTCTCTCGTATTTTCACTTAATACATAGATATTTCACATCATGGCAAGATACATTCTCTGAACCACTTCCTCATAAAAATATGCCGTGTTCTGATTGGAACAAAAAATGGGATGATTCAAAATATCGTAACTGCAAAAGCACTTCTTTTTATTCCGAAGATAATGAAGCAGAAGAAGACGATAGAACTAGTCATCATCTGTACAGAAACCCAATTACGGTTAAATCTCAAAAACCCTGTCCAACTGGCACACAAATAAACACTACACTTGACGAGCTAACTGAACTTGTTACAAATGGCAATAACTTCGATGAACGTATAGTTAACAATTCTTCTAGTCACATTAATGATGAATCTTGGTATATAGGAAGTGAGTGAATATGTCTTTTTCCTACTTATGCATTTTATTATTATTCAAGAATTTATAGTATTCGGTTAAGTGCTTCCAGGTTTCCAAAGGTGGTCTAACATCAATCGGTTCATGATCTCACTCAAAAACTTAATAATCTCCACAACCCCTATACTAGTAAATATTTCTGATTCTACATGTCATATTCTGCTCTATTGACGCTTCATGAGTATACGTTTTAACTCGATTATGTTAATTGATTCTTTCGGTACAAATATAATTCAGTCGTAGTTCTAGCAAATAAATGCATAAAGTGGTTTAGTGAATAGCTCGAATTCATTTATATTAACAGCATTCGTTTTGAAAGACTGATAGGACCCTGAATCTGCACTCAATCTTGATAGTGATGAGATATAAGTCATCGAGAAGTTCGTTTGTCTGGGTAACTGCTTAAGTGCTGGTAATCTGGTGAGTGATGAGGTCAATCCACATATAGCGAAAGCCAGAGTGACTTATGTCAATTTTGGGCCATTTTTGGCGTCTTTGTGATGTTAGTCTGGCTGTAAAAGATCGAGTCTACAACGCATCAATGAGAGCAGTTTCGTGCTATGCTTGTGAAGCCTAATCTCTCTGATTTGAGGGTGTTAAACAATTCATTGTTGTTTTGGAAGGATTGCCAACATTCGATGGCAACACCATGTTAACAGTGCACAGGTTTGGCAACATGCGTTCGGACATATTGACATCAATTCAATTGATGTCACTGTCTTGAAACACTGAATTCCGTGGCTTGAAAATGTTGTATGAATGTCGTCCCAGAGAATTACACATCGTTCACTATTTTACGATTCTGGGACTGGTTGGAAAAAATGGAGAGGTGATCTGATCAGTACACGACATGGTGTACGAAAGTTATACAGGACTGGCTTCTGTTGGTCCCTTACGACTCCCTGGTTAGAGTTCTAGAGCTGGTGCGATTCAGTGACGTGAGGCGTTATCAAAAATGTCTCAGAATAGAAGCCAGTGGCGATCCTTATATAACTCTTTCTTACTTCATAAAAGTGAGAGTAACTTCTTTAACGGAAACAATTTTTTTCTGGTTGTATTTTTCTTAACTGAACTGCTTCTCCAATTATTATTGTTATTATTATTAATATTCCTACTTCACTCTCATACACTAATTCCGGTTGATTGTTGTTCCTTTTCTATTGCGTTCACTTTCCTTTCTCTATTTCCTCCCAACCCCATTTTTGTTTTGTGGCGCATACATATTTGGTGCCTCCCTTGTACCAATGTTTATATGTTCAAATAAATAAATTCATTTATCAAGTGAAAATTCATGTACTAGGCTTAAACCACGCTCTAATTGTGTTAGGACTAGTGTCACTGTCCACTTACTCAAACTAAAGACAAGCAAGTTTCAGATTCACGATTTAGTTGCTGAAATCCAAACGCCCAAATCAATTAACTACTGCTCCTTCGACAACATAAACTATTTCGATAATGCAATGAGAAAACGAAAGTTATCAGAATTATGTGATCTATTTGTGCAATACATTTCGAACGATCTGATCATACACAATATACTTGTTAAGACATGTTTATAAAGAAAATAAAAGGTCAACTAGACAGATTAAAGGTAAGCAGAAATAAAGAATAATAAAGTACACAAAAACATTGTGATATTCACTCTGAATAATGAATCAATATGTTAAGGGGTTTTTGAACCACAAAGGGGTTTTCAGTTTCCGTATGTGTTCAACCCTGGTAATACTGATTCTTTATCTGTCTAATTGACCTTTTATTTTCTGCATAAAAATCTTTTAAAAAGTGTATGTATGATCAGAGTTCTCGAAATGTATTGCATAAATATATCACATAATTCTGATAACTTTCGTCTGCTCATTGGTTTATTGAAATTTATTAAAGGTAGTAATTGTTTTAATTATGAACTATCTTTATATTGTTTTATAACCATTTAATTAAGTAGTAATGGAAGTTACTTTCAGTCTGAATGGGTCTTAGCTGTACAAATGTAATTAAATCAATAATCAGTGAATTATTTTCTCATTATTCGGTTCATTAAAAATGTGAACATCATGCGAATTAATTTACTTTTGTGTAATAGCAAACTTGATAGATTTAATAAAATCCTTAAGTTAAGATAATTATTCATACATGTATTTATTCCTGAATAGTGAATTGTGTCCATTTTACTACTCACCAACCTCTGATGATTATAAAGAAAAAAAAATTTTTTTTTCAGCAAAAAAGCCAACAAACACAGTTCGTAATTATTTTTTTCGAATTCCTGGAGAAAGTAGCGATGAAACTGAACATACAAACGATTATTCATCTTCACCCACTTCATTGTCATGTTCATATTTATCTTCTGACGTTTCTGATTCATCTAATCAATTTGAAGATAATCGAAAAACAAGTGATACATTCGTGAATAAAGATGTTTATGATGTTAAGTAAGTTTTGGATTATTTTAATTTTTATGTAAATACTTATCAGATTATGATAATAATAGCAGCAAATGTTGAAATATTTTGTTTAGTAATTCTCTTTAAAGAATCCATTTATAATAATACTAAAGACAGAATACATAAATATTCATAATATCGTTTTTTTAAAGTATTACCCACATAATAATATGTAAATTATTGAGTATGATAGAACAGTCGATAAGTAGAATAAGTTTTTGCAAAAATACTAAGACTAGTTGGATCTGAGCAGTCACCAATAATCATAGTGTTTGAAAAAACTCAACTTAGTAAACTAGTTAAAGTTTCTATGCTCTGATCACAACCATACTTTATTATCTGGGCAACAAGAAAAGTTATATGCTCTTTAACCCTACTACTCTTCTAACTTCTCTCAACGTTACACATGTAGGAATCATTAGTACACAAAATTACTTCATATTTAATTTGATTTTGAATCAACCAGGTTAAATCATTTACCTAAATTAGTTAACCGTTTTGATGAACCTAATCTATTCGCTTATTATGGCAAATGAATAGTACACTAATACGTAACGTAGTTTTGATAAAAGAGATATTTCATCATTTAAATTAAATTTCAGTCAATCAGTTTTATAATGTTTCTTTTTGTTGGTCGAAGTTCTATGTAAGGAGTTGTAATATTTTTTCTCAATCACAGACGACTGTGTTGACTTGTGATATCCTTGTGTTTCAGTGAGAGATAATATATTTAGGGGGGGGTCTGGTCGTATCTATCGTTGATTTGTGTTGTTCAACATAACCCAATCTCATTAATCCACTCAGTAATACTAGATTTTAATAAAGTCAACATAATTTAGGTTAAAACGGTAAGTTTCTCTAGCAATTATTGGAAACCCACAATTCATATATTAAATTTAGTAGTCATAACACTGTCAATCTAGTGAAAATATCGCTGAAACATTTGTTGTATTGTGGTGTGTGCTACTTACACGGACAGATATAAGTAGTATGCATCAAGATTTGGAAGTAGGATTCTTACTGACGGAAGAGGAAAATGAGAAGGGGAAGAAGAGAAGCAAAGGCAGTCAGAGTAGCCAAAAGAATGAAAGATCGATGGAGCTTGTAGGAAACAATTCAAGGAAGATGTAAAAACGATGTATTCAGTCTATTGTTTTCATATTTTACGAACGTGGTGTTTGATTTCACTGAATACAATAAATTGGTTTACCCTACATGAGTTTTCGTTCTTTACAGAATAGCATGTCATTATAATATGTCGGATATGTATTTGGAATAATAGTTATGAGTACTATCGATGCCTTTGTACACTCAAGGATTAATGAGAATTCACTTCGTCTATTGGTTGTTGTCGTATTTGGGCTGTATGTGCCAAGGAAAACTTTTCTTGTTTATTTATCGATTAATTGTATACCCTTTTTCTCTTCTATCTATTCATCATTATTCATGCTGCTATTTTGACGAATATTTAGTTGATGATTAAGCTATGGTGATGAAGTATTTTTTAAAACTGTTACATTTCCTACTTCTGCACCAATGTAAGTTTGTAATACTGAATGTAGTATATCAGTTGTATTGTATAAGTCGTATTTTTTTCCATTCATAGTGACTCACAGAACAATGAGATTGGAAAGTCTGTACGAGAATATCGAGTAAGTTTTTATCTATGATTTTATGATTTTATATTCTTATCTTCTATCTGTTGATTTGATTCATCATTCGGTTAATTTATTACTAGTTTTACATGAGAAATAACTTCTCTTTGCAAGTGTACTGAACAAAATTAGCTACTACTAGTTTGTCTGTGCATTAAAAATCTGTATATTTCCTATTTCTCCTAAACACTATCTGTCAGCTATTATTAACAATCCTCAATCGAAACTAAACAATATTATACACAAGAACCTTTAATGAAGTATTTCGTGTTAAATAGATCACAAAATCAACTGTTTAAGGGCAGTCAAACAATCTTTTTTACTAGCAGTTTTAGACGTGTTACCTCCGCACTTTTCAGACTTTGGCATTGGCTACGCAAATGTATGAAATAAGGTGTGGTTTCCTATGGTTAAGACCGATCTCTCCCTTCCGTTGTGAGAAGGCGGAACCTCTGAAGACGCTGGTCGTTTCAAGTAATGTTTTGAAGGCTAATGTACCAAAACGATAATACTTACTTGTCTTCTGTGTATTAAACTTTATGGAAGAATATTGGAGGGTTAAATTTCGGATAAGCAATTTTACTTCTAAGTGTCACTCGGTGATCCTCCTACTGATAAGTCCGAGTTCATTGAGAGTATTATCACTGCTAGACAAGTTCTTTTATAAACCCATCTCAATTCATGTGATTTTTTATATTCCATTTCTGTTTCGTAGTATATTATCATTCAAATGGAATTATGTCCATCCAAGTCATTAAGATATGTCATTGACTTCGAAAATTTATCATGTAGTCCGGATAGAGCTTGGAGTTTATTCCGTGAATTAACTGATGGTTTGGCATATATTCATTCCAAAGGTGTTATTCATAGAGATTTGAAACCAGCCAATATCATGTTAGATTCTAATGATCATGTGAAAATTGTAGATTTTGGTTTGGCTACACGGACTGTACAAGAAAAACTAATGAATGCACGCCAAGCTGTTGCAGCTGAATTCCATGTAAGTATTTTTTTCTTAAAAGCATATTTCGTGCATCAAGATCTCAATTAGTATATAACACTGTTAAACGTTTCGAATAAATTGATCTATTCATACTTATATCACAGAAATAAACCATAAAGTGGCGCTTACATTTTATACTATTAATATTCACAATTTTATTTTTTCTGTGGGATTATATAATTTTACAGAATGTTATACAGAAAACACTTTTCACTGAGCGATTTGTCTTATAAACGAATTGACTTAATGTCATAATCCACTGAACGTTCTAATTATTGATTAAAATTAAAGTTATTATTTATCCACTCCTAATGTATCTATTGTAAATGACTTATTTCACCAACAAACCCATTTACTGTACTTTACATCTTGATCGTTGATTAATTTTGGTGTGATGTTTATAATGTTTATTACCATTTAGCCTTCAATCACAGAATTAAAGTTCCAAAACCTGTTTCTCCTGCATTGGTTTGTGTAGTAGATTATTGTCATTAGCCTCCACATATGTAATTAAACCGGTTCTTAAATGAGTTACATTTTACTTCTAAAATTTTGCTTTGTTTTTCCTTATTCATATTTTGGTCAGAAATGTAGTAAACAAACAGAATGCTCAGATTCTACACAACAGATTCCGCCGGTTGGACATAAAGAAGTACCGAATTCCACAGGCCAACATGAAAATACCACGAAGTTCGACGATCATTCCATGACCCATAACGTTGGCACCTTCTTATATATAAGTCCTGAAGTTCTACTTTTGGATTCTCAAAAAAATCGTATTTATGATGAGGTAGTTTTTCTCACACATGGTCTCTGTCTTGATTCAATTATACTAATATATAAATTAAAGAATGTCATTCATATTTACTATGTGTAAAATCCACTGGTTAGTTAGAATGAAGCTAGGAAGGCAATTTAAATTCCTATGAAGGACTGAGTCAAGTATACAGTTGCTTTGATTATCCTACTATAGAGCTGCTAAATATATACTCATTTTACGTGGAATATAATCAGTTTCTAGTATGTGGTGTACCACAAGTAATTCTAATGTAAAAACCGTAATTTCATAAGTTGGTAAATGACCTAAAAAATCATAATTTATTATTTATTTACATCTTCAATTTTCTGTATGTATGTCATTTTGCCATATAAAATGGCCCATATTTTACTAACAAGTTATTGCCTTCTGATATCCGTTCATTTGTAACGCTCCGTCAGTTATTCGTATTTATGACTACCGATCATTCCACCACGATCACTTTATCCGATTGGTCTCACATACCTCTCAATTCACCATTATTTATATCCGTTACATCAATCTACTGTTGTGTGAATGCATTCAACCGTTATGCACAATTTACTTCCAGTGAATAGATCATGGTACTTTTGGCGTAGTGTGTTTAGGTTTTTAAGGGGATCGGTTGCTAATTTTATTTTACTTAACAAGGCGTTTAAAATATGTGTTACGTCTACCGTCTCATCACTACCAACCAACTAATGTCCCATTTTTTGAGGAACTATACTCGCTACCTGTCTGTGAATATGCGATAGGTTTTGATGATTGTCGACAATAATTCCTAATTACGAACGGTTGGGATATTTTCCTAATATGGAACTGGACTTATACGAAGTCCATGGACCAGACGACTGACGTACAATACTTCATCAATAATTCCCAACGCAAAGGAAGTCGAGGGGTAGTCAGGAGTTGGAGAAAATTTTTCTGTACAAGAAGTCAAATTTATAATGGAATTGCTGTGTATGTATACCTAAAAATTCTTTTGGGGCAATCTAAAAGTAAAAACGACCAAATAACTGCAAAGGTCAGTACGAAAAAGTTAATATGAAATAAATTATAGCGGCTATCCTCATACAAGAAAGCTGGCATTTATTAACAAAATCTAGCTAACCCTAAATTTTCTTAACCCCGTGTACTCAGATAAGTTTGGTTAAGGGCCAACAAACATTTACTCACAATTTAAAAAACAGACGTTACTTTAAAATCTAAATGTGTTGTTCAATGTACTTGACTTTTTAAACGTATTATCTTTTACAACTGTAATGTCGGTTTGCTCTGTTAAACTTACTTATTTACTTACGCCTGTTACTCCTCGTGAAGGAGCATAGGCCGCTCACCAGCATTCTCAATTCAACCCCGTCCTGGGCAATCCCTTCCAGCTCCTTCCAGTTGTTATTCATCCTTTTCATATCTGCTTCTATTATCCGACGTAATGCGTTCTTAGGCCTTCCTCTTTTCCGCTTCCCTTCAGGATTCCAAGTTAGTGCTTGTCTCGTGATGCAGTTTGACGATTTGCGTAATGTATGTCCTATCCATTTCCATCGTCTTTTCCTAATTTCTTCTTCAGCTGGAAGCTGATTTGTTCTCTCCCACAAAAGGCTGTTGCTGATGGTATCCGGCCAATGGATTTTAAGTATCTTGCGAAGACAGGTATTTATAAATACTTGTACCTTCTTGATGGTGGTTGTTGTAGTTCTCCTCTATTAAGTCCATATTGCTTATTCTGGCTTCCGGACAGGCCGATTCATTCTTCTTCAGTCACATTTTGACCTTATTAATTATTCCCTTGTCAACCTTGACTATTTTTATGTAAGTGTATGTATGTGAATTTCTTATCCTACTCATCACATGTCTGTAAGTTATTTTTGTTCGACTATAAATATCGATTCACATTTGGTTAAATCTAGTTGGCTTGCACGCCTTCTTCATCGTGCATCATTCCGTTTCGCTTTGTTTCTTCGATAATCTATGTGGATCAACAGTCGTATGGAATATACGCATTCAAAATTCATTCTCGTACTTCACTTATTTAATCCCGTTATTCACTAACGCGAGTTAAATCGATAATTATATACGAGGATTGGCGATATGCATATGTTAATAACAATCATCTTACGATCTAATTGGAGTCAGATTTAAGGACACCAAACAACAGAGTACATTCAAGACACATGTAAACCTTTTAGTCGATGTACTTTTCCTTATATATTTTCATAGTTTAGTCTGTGTATACTAACTTATGCTTTGCATTGTCCGCACATTTTTCCAATTATCTCACAAACTAGCGGGTTGATATCTACAGTTTGGGTATTATTCTTTTCGAAATGTTTTATCGTGCTATGCCAACTGCAATGGAACGTGTTTTGATTCTTACTGAATTGAGAAAAGAAAAGATTGTCTTTCCAAAAGATTGGTCTCAAGATGAGCTTGTCAATCAGACTTGGTTAATTCGTACTATGCTACAACATGATCCATCTAAAAGGCCAAGTGCCTCGGTATGTTGTACAATTTCTCATAATGACTACTTCACTTTTTTCATATAAACGTAATAATGTTAACCTAACGTAAATCGCACTTCCATTGATAGTTTGCGATTAAATCTCTAACTTAAGTGTTGGAAATGCTACGTGACATATTTTTCTGTTTTACATCTATAGACATAAAACATAAGAGACTGATCTAACAAAGAGATTTTTGTTCGGTAGATCTTCCAATTTGAAATTTCTGCATGTGTATCACGTTTAAATGCGATATTCACATGCTTTACGATAGTTGGCTTCTCGTTCTGTGTGAAATTTCTGTGAATGGATATTCTTTAAGTGTTGTTATGAAAATGATTGTTCAGCTTAAGGATGAATTTGATTGCTACATAACGGGTGTTGGATATCTTCAATACATGGCTCAATTAATATAACAAGCAATGTAAATACGATCCATATACTCTTCGTATTATTTCAAATTATTGGAAAGAGCATTCAGGTGATTGATTTTCAGTCTAGTTATAGAGTAATATAATTACAGGCCTGGGGGAGATCCCATGGTTATTCTATACGTGTGTCAGCACATCAGGTCGAATGTGAATTGTACAATAATGGTATCTTTTTAAAATAATTCCTGTAAATAGAGAGTAGATATTCTAATGTTGTTATAATGTATCACCGGCGATCTCACTGTTGGAGTTGTACAACTGCGAGGATGAAGTCATCTGAACTCATTCTGAATGAAAGACTCATTAAGATATAAAAGAAGAGAATGGTTCAACGAAGAATTCTCACTACGAAGTTATACAATTGCAAATGTTTACAATTTTTCTATAGTGGTAATTTGTAATGTGGTTGTTAGCAACAACAAAATATCAAACATTTCAACAAAGTAAAAATAACAATCTGATTATACCTAATCAATGACTGAAAATAGGCATTGTGAAACACTCAAAAGTAACCCAGAACTAGATATGAATGATGAGTTGCATAATATAGTAAGATAAGTTTAGGAGTGACGTATGGTCAACAAGGCCACGTAATGAAGAATAAGTCGTTAAAATCATCAGTCGATCTGAGTCAGATCACCATTTTAGACCTGGATGCACAGGACAGCTATTTTGTCCTAGTATAGGAATCCTCAGCAGTGTGAACCCACGAACCGATTGAGTCGGTTCAGTGGTTTAAAGGTTAGGTGTTCATGTGCGAGACCAAATATCCTGGGTTCGGTTCTCATGTTCGGGGTCGTAGATGCGTACTGATGAGTTTTTCAATGGTGGTCTTACTTAGTACGGTTTATAATCTCAGTGAAATGCGATCTCCACGACTCTATACTGACAAGAATAAATCAGTTTGCGTTAAACACTTAAAAGACGACGAAGCAAAGATAAAGTTAAAAAGAGAAGAAAATATGTATTATTGCGTTCTCGTCATTAAATCTCTCTTTTATTGTGTCACAATAAGTGCTTTCTTTATGTTAGTTTTCGTAGATTATGCACAATTTCTTATAATTTTCAGTGAGAATTCATCTCGAGTTTTTTTTGCACATTCATGTTTTCTAATTTTTATAGGACCTGCTAACTTCTTCACGTGTCCCACCATTTAAGTCTACTGAAGCAGCATTTAAAAAGCAACTTATTGAGATTTGTAAAACTCCCGATAGCAATTTATACCGTTTTGTTACACATACTCTTTTTTCTCAAGCTTGTTCAGGCGCATCAGTAAGTCCGGTATTGACAGAAGCTTTTTTTCCCTATAATAAAAAAAATATTTAAACTAAGTCGATTGAACATGTCTACATTTCACCATATTTTTAACCTGATTCACCAAATATGGCAAACATTGATTCGAACTCCATAAAATATCAATTTTTACCCCGTGTTATATTCCTGCAGTATTCCACTTATTTCACTTATTTCTCATTCCTTTAGGATTTACTATACGATTGTAACACATGGATAACTTCAGTTCAACAAGATTTCAATCAAATTGATGGGAGTTTTTTATCACAATTATTAACTAAAGATTGTTTTATGCAAAACGATCCAAATCGTGTATTATTTAATTTTCTTAAAACACGCAGGTAAGAGGTAGGATTATATATACATATAGTATGACATCATTTTTCTGTATACTATTATTATTGTTTTCACACGGATAAAACTCAACACGCATGAAGTTTGTGGCTCTCGTACTCTATCTCTTACCATGTTACTTACAACAAGAATAATTGTAAGACAGACAAACTCATCAATATATTTCTCACAAAAGTATATTAGTTTAAAAATATGGAGAAATGAAGTTATTCAAAAAGGAAAAGTGTTTCAAATAAAGAAACAGGAAAGAAATCAGCTTTTCGAAGTGTTTAAGATGGGAAGGGACTTAATCTTCCAATCTTTTACTATATGTAGCATCTGGATTACAGTTACATTTAGCCATTTATATTTCGGTGCTCCAATCCATTTTATGTGACTACTATATGTAATGTACTATAAAAAAATATACCTTATCTTTCCAAAAAGTACGCAACATTGACGGTGTTATTCTATTGTAAGCTTCTTCTGGAAGAACAGATAGTGAATATTGCATCTTACTTGAATGTTCTGAAGTGACTGAAAGATCGTATGGAATCAAATTTCTATGATACTGGTGAATATCTGTTCCACAACGACAATGTACTCTTATATTAATCAGTGTATGTGTACGAGTGTCTAGTCTGTAATTTCCTCATTACACTGGATCACGCTTTAATTTCTGAATTTCTTTTCGTTCTCATAATGCAAATTAGTCATTAGGAGATAGCACTAAGCCAGTGTGATACCCGTCACAAATCAATGAATAATCAGTAACACCGAATAACGTAGTTCTGTTTTTAATTCATTTTGTATTATTTGTTTGAATTTTCCCATTGATGTTTAGGACTGCAATTGATCAATCTCTTATTGGTATATGTGCATCCTAAACGTATTGACCCGGCATTACCTTAGGTCACAAGCATTGTAGGCAAAGATCTACTTCATCTATTAAAATGTATCAGTAGATAGTTCTTAAGTATGTAGAAAAACGGGTCATTTTATCTATCATTAAAATCTTAAAAATATAACGAATTAATAACCTGTTTTAAATAAATTTTTAAAAATAGATGAAAGATGTATGTTTGTCATCGTATCTTACTAGGTCATTTGTTTTTATTTGTTTGCTTCACCACCAAAACTACTGTCATACGATTGATTTCAGCTCAGCCTTTATGGTTTTATACATAGTTTATAGGCAAAACTTAGTTATGTCAAAATCTATGCCATACAAAACTTCACCCCTCTGTGTATTCAGTGATAATTTATACTCACATTAAACCTATTCTGGTTGTATTTGTTTATTTAGTCAGTTATTTAATTCACATGATTATTATTATCTTTGTTTTACTGTTATTTTTCCGTTTGTCTAGTTGACCTTTACTTTTTTTTTCATAAATGAATGGCTTAGCAAGTAAATGTGCAATCAGTTTGCGCTAACATATCACATAGTTTCTTTAACTTTCGTCTTGTCACTTCACTTGGTATTGTTTACTTGAATCTTCTCATTGATGCTTGGGACTGCAATTGATCAGTTTCTATTGGCATATGTACATACTGTGCGTATTACCTCGCTGAGGAGTCCCAAATAGACCGAAACGCGCGTCCTGGATTCCACTGCTAGCCACTATTCATCTTCGTTTTCTCACTTTAAATTAATAAGAGGGTTAATTTACTTGATTATAGCACAAATATGACAATAATATATTCAATTATTTTTCCTCGATGACATAATTTGGTATTAACTTTCAGCATGTATTTTAGTCAATAATAACATTTTTCGTTAGTATTTTCATTGTATTTATATACCTTAATATTCCGTACACTTAAAACGAATAATTTCGAAAAATAATTTTTAAACAGATATATTACACATATTGTGGAGACTTCATTCATTGCACACAGTGGTGTACTGTTGGAATCCCCTACACTTGTTCCAGTTATTCATAGACCTTATCAAACATCATGGTTGGGCCAATCAAAACAGGATAACAATGATTTGTTTGATGTGAATGATAATCAAAATGCTGAGTTTTGGGATCGTTTATCAGCTGCTCCTGTTTTACTAGATGAAAATGGTTTACCCGTTCGTTTGCCTGATTCATTACATATACCATTTGCACGTTATCTGGCTCGATCAGGGTCAGTTTTACTTGAAAACAGAAATGAATCAGATCCACTGAAGCGATATGAATTTGCACGAACTTATCACAGTTCTTCAGTTTCAAATTCAAGTGGACCACATATGTTATTTGGTTGTCCAGTAGAAGTTAATCGAGCAACGTTTGATATTGTTTCTATAGAAAACAGGTAGCTTTATTATTTTCGCCATTATTTTCATCATTATCATCTCTGACTCCCGAAGTAAAACTTCTGTTCAACAATACTCCACGCCGTTCATTTCAGTAATCATAGGATCAGTTAAATTCTTACGTTAAAACGTTTGTAACATTTGGTCGGACTGGTCATTATAATATGCTTGTGTTATTTCATTGTATAATATGAATGCAGTCAGTTTCCTTTCGAAATAATAGTAAAAATTATTGAAACGATCAACAATTGAATACGAAGCATAATAAACGGTAGTTAACATTTTCAGGTGTATCATGTTATGTTAACTTATATGGGACCATTACGGAGAAATATTTCATCCTAGTTGGGGATTCTTCATCATTCCACACCGACTCTTCTAAGGATCTAAATCACAACATTCTGGTCTAACAACGACCTGCTCAACTGAGGTGGTTGGGACATATATTACGCATACCCATCCACTGAATACATCGACGATGTCTAATGTAGGTGTAGGTTAGAAGAAAGTTAAATGTGGTCAAACCAATACATGCCATCAGTCCATAAAATCATTTACAATTATACCTTGTCATGTTATCAGGTGTAGACTACCTGCTGGGGTCGGTATGTTTATCGTAACTAATGGTTAGAGACTTTGGATGACATGACACAAAATAGTTCGCAATGACGCGGGTGGATTCATTCTCTATCTTCCTCCAAATTCTAAGCTTCTGAATTACCTATAACTGTTTTTGTGCTTTGTTTTACTAATTTATGTTTTCTTGAGTTGTATCTTCAGTTCCTAAGCTTTCTTATCATCACTTATACTTTTACGACTTCTACTATTCTGGGACTTGATCTGATAATTTAATCTCTGTGTGATAATAGGGTACGACAACTTGAACTGATGTACATACGTACCAGGTTTTACGTTGGAACTGACTGACTGACAGTACAGTCTGTCCTAAATAATTCAAAAAGGTTTTCTCAACGATGTGCAACTTTAAAAATGCTACAAGTACGCACATGAATCGTATCACAATCTGCCTCACTCTAATCCACATACTTATACATATAAGATCTACTTCACGAATATGTGACAGCTGTACAGTATTGGAACTTGTTGATATGTATTCTTTCACAGTTTCATCGAACATGCTGCTTCACTATAGAAATGTGTAGGCCACAAATGATCTGAAGGGTCAGTCATCATAAGTCTGCGAAACATTAGAAATTCTTTTCCCATTCATTTTATGATACAAAAACTGTCCAATTCTCAATTTATGCAAATTTTTTTTCATATGTTGCTAATGATACCTGATTTTTGTGGGGTTTTTTTAATCGTACAATCCATTTCGTGTTTAATCTTATGTTCTATTTTCAAAGCACTTACTGGGCCACGGAATTGTTTGTCATCTTACGTGAAGTAACGAATAAACTGTTTCAGTCCAAAGTATGTGAATAAATATGACTCATTCTTATATTTAGTTTATTATCCTTTTAAGTTGATCGGTTCGTACAATGTTGTCAGCACTATGAAGTATCTATAATTTCCATTTCTAAAATTTGTCAACAAAACTAACACATGTTTTCATGGTTTAAATGTAAACTAATGATACACTGAACGGCACGATCAACCTTGAGTCAAGGCCTAGGTAATCTTGTCAGGATACAGTTCCTATGTGTTCGCTTGCTCGATAGTCAGAATAGAAGTGAGATACAGAATGTAGATAACTTATCTTCGTTCAGTTCAGTATAAAACTCAATTCTCATGTGACAATATAGATCAGTTAGTAGGTCACTCCCCTAACTTTTGACCTAGAGGTCTAATTCACAAGGCAATCGAGCAACGTTTGGAAATGCGGCCATATGGTAGCCATTTGATCCCACAGGGTCCTGAAGCTTATGTGTACCATTGGTCTGGAACTAGGGTTTTCTAACTACCCTGATTGGATCCTTCGTAACCGTCAACCCTGTTTAAGCACCAGTTATCCCCCTTTTATCCTCTCAATTTCTCAAACAACTCCCCGTTGCGAGTAAGCAGTGGGTACATATTCGTGGCCATATGAGAGTATTTCATAAGGGAGAGCGGGCTTTTCCACCCTCTGGTCACACCAAGGGACATAGGACATCTGAACATGCTAATCAACTATACATGTAAAAGTACTTTGTTGCTGTTATCCATTCTGGCCTTGAGGTGTAATGGATTCAGTACGTAAAGATATCCTTTCAATAAATTTAATCATCGAATGTCAAGAAGCAGCCTATTCCTTTCCAGTCCGTTTATTCAGATTGTTAGGATAAAGACCTGACTTCCATGGTCTCAAAATTTTCTTAGATGTGAATGATTTCAAACAATTCTATCCTAGTCATGATAATTTATAGTTAAGAAAACACCTACAGTGTTCTGTATTAAAGAGTTACTCATATGATCTCAAATTAACTGGAATTGAACAATCCAGTACGAGAAAAGAGGTGTATATTACTTCATGTTCTCACTAGCTCTACATTTGGTATGGTAAGAAATATCTTAGAATTAGTTTAGTGACATTGGTGAACATTCGTTCAACAGTGGATTGATCAGTTCAAGTTAATGCAAAAAATATCTCTTGGTTTTATGTCATCACTTCCATTTTTATTTTCTGTACTGAACTTTTCGAAAGGAAATATCATTTTTCCTGTATGTGAATCATACCAACCTGATCAAAGCACTATTCAAACTAGCTGGAATTCAATCTGGATCACGTGCAACTGTTTGGCGTCATTTATCCGAAGCAAATGCTGATCCAAAACCTGTTAACCCATCTACATACTCATCCTTCTTTTCATCAGTGAATTGTTCTACCACATATTGTGCAACAGCATCTTACTCTTCATCTTCTAATTCTCCACTATCCGGACCATCACGGTTGAATGAACCAACACGTTCGCTTATTTTACCTGAATATTTAACAAGTAAACCTCGTGGACATGCACAAAAGCGTTTTATGAAAATAATTCGTCTAGAATCTTCACATATTCACTATATACGTGAAGTATTTATTCAACATTCCGCTCAGCAATGTCATTCAGTTAGTAAATTAGTAGATGGTGCTGTGAAATTATTGGAAGAGTTGACAGATATTTACACTAAATTTGATTGGTCAGAAAGGTTTCATGTATGTTATGATTGTCACAAATGTTTTGTCAGTTAGTTTTACTTATATATATCTCAATTTATAGATAACAAACCAGTTTTAAAAAGACATCATTTTAAACTCTCAATTTTTTATTTCTTCTAAAGACTTACTGAGTCGTCTAAATACTTTTTCCTACAATTACAAGATAATAAGCTTATAAATCTGTCCAAACTAATCATATTTATGAAACATTGCTGAACTAACATAGTAGATAAGTGTACCCTTTACTAGTTGACAGACTACTATAAAGAATTGTTTTGCGTTTGTTCCAATCGAAATATAAGGAACAGATTTTAATAATTTAATAGTTGAATTCATGAGTCGATTTAAACTAGATCACCCTGGAAATCCTAAAATCACTTGATGGCCGTTTCGTTCTGGTATGGGAATTGTTTTTGTATTTATCTTTAATGAGATAGTTTTATTTCTCGCAAATGAATCACTGATCAGTATTTTTTTTAATCATTTTTGATAATAGGGAGTTATAGAAGTAGTACTACTTAATTTTATGTTCTACTGTATTCATAAAAATATTCAAGGTACTACATCTTAGTATTAGCCCTTAAACTTTTCAACATATTTGCTACTCTTATTGGTCAGTTGTTCCATTCGTTCATTACTTTCATCGATAGTTACATATATTGATTAAATCAGAAACAGTTCATCTGAAATTGATTACTTAAATAATTGTAAGATTTCCAGTTCTGATAGACGCAAGAGTTATCTGCAGCACAAAGCTTTAATGAGCATTGACATGTTTGTTTACTCGATCGTTTCAATGTTCAACCTTACTACACTTGGAGCAAGAAAAATGTTTCCTTTCTAATTTCCACCCATCATTTTGTTTTTGCTTCTCAGCTTCGATTCACCCCTGGATTAGTTCTTCCACATCATATGTACAATGGTTTAATTTTTCAGTTGGTTGCATTGGGTGATTTATCCCCTAAATCAACCATGCCAAGTTCCTCTACCTCCATCTGTTATTCACGACATCTTGAAGATTCGTCAATAAAAGTGAATTCCAAAACCAATATCAATATAGCTTCATCACGAATAAATGACACATCTCCGATATTGTATGTTTTAGGTCAAGGAGGCGAATATAACCATTTAATTGCTAAACACTGTGTACCGAAGGAATTCTGTACCATTCGGTAAGAGAATAAACAGTTATTCAATTTCCTTAAACTTTTATATCATACTGTTGATGTAAATGGATTACAATACTTAAAAGTACATATGAACAACCAATGGTTTGTTCATAGTTCAGTGATAACTGTGATATTATCCACCACTGACTTCAGTCGATGATTTATTTATGTGTAAACTTCATCTCTCCTCTTAATCACTCTAGTTTGTAGTGAATCTAGGAAGCGTGAATTGTAGGAAAGTTGAGCTATAGAGAAACTCTATTCTCAAAACATTGTGTTAGATATAGTGGTTGTTTTCAGTGTTGATTTCTCTGTTTTTGTGCTTCTTAAGGGGTTTGTTTGATAGTAAACTACTAAGATAATTTTTAATCAATGAATTTAGCTGAAATTATGAACCGATTAATGTTAGACCACCGTTGAAAGCCAGGAAGCGTTGAACATCCGCTTCGTCTTAGGTTTCCACTTATGATCTAACATTGATCGGTTCATGATTTCACTGAAATTCAACAATACCCACCACCCCTTACTAATAATTAGTGAATTATCTGATTGTTTGGTTCTACTGGCATCATTGCATTAATACACAAATATAGATAAAAGAATATTTCAGCAATTGTTCATTTTTTCTTTTTATGTTATTGATAAAAGATTTCTTTCCATTCTGTATAGACTACCAAGAAAAATATCCCGATGTAATTCTGCGTCTAATAATCTGGGTATGACCGCATTGACCATAGATAAGTGCCCTTATGCAATTGGTTTAAGTTTGGATATGGATAAATTAGTACATTGTTACATGACTTCCTTCTGCAAAAACACTATACAGATTTCGTATAATTTGGTAAGTTACTTGAAAAGGTATACATTTGTTCTTTATCCGAATAAATTCCCACTTAGTTTTATACTTCTGGCTAACAGTTTAATAGTTATAAATCACATCTCACACTGAGTAACCAGTCATATAGATATCAATAACAATTATTTACTTTTCCCTACTTTTTTTCCGATCGATTTATCATTTATTAATTTTACTGAGTGATAGTAGTATTTGTATGTTACATATATTTCATGAGGTCCAGTCTCTTCATTTTCGAGAACACAACCGACATTTAAAATAGATTATTCATGAGTGAATGTTTGTTTCACCAGAAATTTATCTATCCATTCAAACATTTATACTAGTAAATGACTATTCACTTTATGTTTTTGACTCGTGTTGTGATTTCGAATTTTGATAAACTAATTTGTCAGCCTAATATGTAATAGAATCGCTTCATGCATGCTAAGGCGTGTTAGTTTTATACTTTGCCATTTGTTAATTGAGTAGCTGATACTTCCATCTAGTTAAGATTATTTGTATTTATTTTCTATTCTCCTAAGATTTCCATTCAGTAATTTTAATATGATTTACGCTAAGTTTACCTGTACAAAAACCCATGAAGTATGTAAGTGTAGTTGCTTGTGTACTAGTTTGTACTGTCTATACTTTCAATTAGGCTTTGAGGTTATCAAAGTAAACAGTGATATGAATTTTGCACTTATAAAAGTAATTTTAAGATTTATCGATATATTTTATTCCAGTTCATCTGTGAATTGATTTAAATATCTTAAGTTAAAATGGATCTTCTGAAATGAGTTATCAGTTCAAAAAGTCTATTGAGAAAATTACTGTTTAAAATGTTTCTTTTGGTTGACTGACTTATTTGAATCATTTATTCTATCAACCTACACTTTTTATGGTTTCAACAAGAATAATAGCATATAGTCTATTAATATGAACCATTTTATATTGGAAAGCTTGGTGTGCATAACGTAGCTCTTCCAAAACACCCGTTAATTATCCTTAAGCTGATTTCTTGCATACTATTTATTCCTTTCATATCAAAATCATAGTTTTATTATCGATTACATTTCAGCATGATTGTATTATATTCAATCCTAAATGGCGCATATTACTTGGATGGGAATCACGTACTGTTGAAACTCTTCATGATTTATATACTTGCCCATTTCGTAACCCTACGACTCATACTCGTCGATCCGGTTTAGGATCTAGTCAACGTTCATCGAGTGAATGTAGTACCAACACTTCGACTAATGCTATGAATACGATGTCACCTCCAAATAATTGTGCATCTGATTTTTCAAACTCTGCTAACAATATAACATTGCCTTACACTTGTGCCTCGGGTTCTCCGAACCCAACTTCATCATCTGAATCATTTGTACTGACCCAGAATGTTTTAAAATTAGCATTTCATTTAGCTCAAATATTTTGGAATTTAAGTTGGACATGTGATTTGTTAACAAAATCAGATTCGGTAAGTGAATTTAACCAATCATTCACTTTTTTCCACTTGAGAAAAAAGATGGCAGTTCAGCGGAGAAAATTTTCTTTTCGATGGTTTCATTTACTTAAGCTGTACAATCGTATTTATAGTTAATTTTACTTGCTAAAATAGTAGTTTATATTAAAATCCAATGGTTTTGAATATCTAGAAAAACTTGAAGTTGTATCCTGTTATGAATTGTTTACTAAAATCAGATATTAAAAGGAAGTTATGTGAGATGTTGTAAAGTGAATATAATTGTTCACTTGATAGCTATTAATAACAGAATAGTTAAAAGTTGTAATAATGTCTAATATATATATATAAAGAAGATAGGAAGGAAGGTTAAGACCATGAAAGGATGTCGGACTGAATATACTGTTTTTGTACGAAAAAGTTAAGCTGAAACTGGTGGGTAGCAATAATCTGTGATGTACATAAGTGTTTCATTTGCATTCCTTTTGAGTCGATTCTTCTGACTGTGTGTATAATTTAAAAGGAGACTTCTGGTGAAGCAGAGTGACCAGAATTGACTAGATGCTCCAGGATTGAACTTTTGACTGACTTCTGTAATCTTTTAAAAAGCCAGGCAGAGTAATGTTCAGAGATGCGCTTTGACTATATAGCTTAAATAAGTGAAATTGTGAAAAAGGAAAATTTCTTCACTGAATCCGCTTGTTTCTTCAATGACACAATGGATCTTTTCCGTTTATTTATAGAGATTTCCATTCATAAAAGGTTTCCGATAATATTCATCATTATCACAAATTGCAACTGTTTTATTGTAAATTCTATGTGTTAATATGAACAGATAGAATGCTAAGGGAAATAAAGATAATAATAAGGTATATAATATTAAAACCATACTCAATAATAAATTAGTATTACCAGAGTAGGTTAAAGTTAAGAACATACTGTTTTCAATACCTTTGTATAACCATAGCTTCAATAAACCTTAGTATACGTCCTTGAACACTTTATACAACACTACACTTCTACATTTAAATTTATTTCGCATCAAGATTTATCACTAGTTATCACTTATTTTCTATTATTCGATTAAATGATTGAGTAAAGCTGTTTTAATATTTCTTCTTATAGTTTCTGTCATATTGGAGTCTGGAAATCTTTTAGAAAGTCAATATTTCACGAGTCTTAAGTAGGGGGCTTATTACTTACGCCTGTTACCCCTCGTGGAGGAGCATAGGCCGCCCACCAGTATTCCCCATTCAACTCTGTCTTGAGCAATCCTTTTCAGTTGCTATTTATCATTTTGATGTCTGCTTCCAATTTCCGAAGCAATTTGTTCCTTGATCTCCCTCTCTTCCATATTTCTTCAGGATTCAAAGTTAGGCCTTGCCTCGTGATGCTGTTGAGTGATTTCTGTTATATATGTCCTATCCACTTCCAGAATCTTTTCCTAACGTCCTCCTCATCTGGAAGCTGCTTTGTTCTCTCCCACAATAGGATGTTGCTGATGGTATCCCATCAACGATCATTATCTTATGTAGACAATTGTTTATAAATATATGTACTTGTTTGATGATGATTGTGGTAGTTCTCGAAGTTTCAGCTCCGTACACTAGAACTGTCTTGACGATGGTATTGATGATGCTGACTTTAATGTTGACTTTCCGACAGTTGCTTTGAGTTCCATACATTCCTTAACTGTTAGAATGCTGTCCTTAAATTGCAAATCTTTGCATTCACATCTGGATCAGATCCTCCTTGTTCATCGATGATACTGCTCAAATGCGTGAACGTTTCCGCCCCTTCATTAAATGTGATTGAGTTGGTGTTCTCTGTATTATATTTGAGTTGTATTTGGTTTTACCTTTGTGTATGTTGAGGCCTACTGATTCAGAGGCTGCTGCTAAACTGATTATTTTTATCTACATTTGTTGCTGATTATGAAGTAGAATGTCTTAGTCATCAACGAAGTTTTAATCGTGTAGTTGGATGGAAGCTGTTCATTTTATTCCGTGCTTCCCTGCCGATGTCGAGATCTTCATAATCCAATCGATTACGTTAAAGTTTCCATCTGTCCCAGAGTTTCTTCATCAAGCGTGATCAGGCTGGTGTTCTCTGTGTTCTATTGAAAGATCTTGGTCTTTCCCTTTTGTATGTTTAGGTCTACAGATGCAGAGGCAGTGGGCTTATTAGCGAACATCATGATCTATAAACGGTCAGCTTGGAAGATATGGCTCAAAATTCGTAGATTTCATACAGATGCATTTTCTCTTCATATTCCTCTTTATTTTATATTTTAATACTCGCTTATCCTTCGAGATTGCATTTGTTCTTTTTAAATTACATTCACAATGTACTGTTTTTACTTGCGATTGACTGATCACTAGTTACTGGGCAGTCTAATTTTTGTCAAGTAATTCTTAGTGGAAATCAAATATTATCGATCAAATTTTAATGTGGTTACTAGTCTAGGTAACTCTAAATCATGTGCACTATGTTGTTGATGTATAATAGTGGTTGGAGGTAGTTTTCAGTAAACCCTGGACCTAGATTCCGTGCTACATGTCATACATCAGCAAAGTGTATCTGCAATCTTGAGGAAACTGATGCCAATTGAGGGATTCGATCCCATGTCAATTATAAATACATCTTAGTCGCGGCTCGGATAACCCAATTGTCTTAGACTGTGAAGTTGGGTGACACGGGATCAAATCCACCAGAGAATATCAGTTCCTTCAAGATTACAGACACACCTTGCTGACGAGCGCCGAACTGGACGAAATCTAGGTCCAGTGTTCTTTGTCAACTAACACCGTACGTTGTTTTCACTACCATAATCCTATTTTATTGATCTTGTTTAATTCGTCTTTCTATGCTGATGTGATAGGTTGTGATAATATGGATCAATGCGTATTTCTACCAGTTTTTATAGATTCCTTGACTGTTTTGCTTACTCTGAATATCTAATTTTACTTTATTACATATACATAGCAATTATACATAATCTTCAATTATTTTAATTTTAGGACCTAGTACGTGAGGCTGAAGATCGAGAAGTAGAATTTGCTGTTCGGGTTATTTTAGTTAAATTATCCACATCCGCTGCAACCAATTTACCACTTGGATCAAAGCATTTATCCCTTGTAACTTATCAAATATGGTCTAGACATAATGCCACTCCGTTAAGTGGACAACATGTAATGGTTTTCGAATTACGACGATCCGACCCAGACTCTGTATTGAATTATTTCTATTCACGCTTCCCAACAAATGTACGTCGACCTTCAGTTGATCCGGATAAAAACTTTTTGTATATATCTTCCAAGAATTCAACAGAATTAATTCATTATTCAAAGGATTTTTTGTCACATCCTAACCCTGAAAAGACAATCATTTATTGTCCTAGATTAACAGAATCCAATATACGCATACCTGATCAGACAGATACAAAAGAAATATCTACAAATATGTTAAATAATTTACGCCGTAGTTCTAACAGATATAAGTAAGTTCAGTTCTTATGTATGCTTCAATATATTATTTTGTGACCGATCCTGCCAATAAATATTGAGTGGTCGACAGTAGATGTTGGTAGTTCAGTAATCGACATCTGAATGATGTACATCCTTTTCGATGCATATTTCCAACCATTTTAATGTCGTTTATTGTGAATTTTTGTAGCTTGGACAGTGAAATGTCGTAAATTATTCATAAACGCACCTGAATAGGTTATCTGATTAATAGACATAATGATGTGTTAAAAAAACATAAAAACAGACAACTTGTTGAAATATCTAGATGGCAGGAATAGGTAGCCCAGATATTCAAGCAGGCTGTCTATATAACTTGTTTGAATTATTATCTCTAAATTCAGATCTATAGAAGTAACACGTTAACAATTCCGTCATAATGATAAAAAAATGTTAGTTGTGGTTATATTTTATGTTTTTTGGAGATAAAATGAAGGCAGTTGTATAGATTTTAATGATAATTCAACACATGTTATTTATGTAGGTATGGTAAACATTTTGATAAGCTAAGTCAATTAGTATTTTCTTTGAAATCTTTAGAATTTTAATTAGGTGACATAATTGCCAGATGTACATTACCGCTGTGTAAATAGTTCTCTTGGACAGTTATGAAATTCAACCTCTGTAAATCGAATATGTTTAACAGCTTTGATTGACTTCCTACATTAAAAGTGAAGACCGTAATTCTAGATCTATATCTGTATGTATTTGATATCAGAGACCATTCACTCAAATTCGTTGTCGTGGAAATGTTTTACGAATATCTCTTCATTGACTATCAGAGGTGGTAAAAGATTCAGAGACAGTAAGCTTTATGACAGAATGAAGGATAGTTATATTGAGTTAGTAACTGTTAACTCACCACGGCTCCTTGGATGCTGTTATATAAATCACAAATCACTAGTGGTTTAAGTTATCAGGAATGTCTACAAACAAGATTTAATGACGATTATATTTTATGTTCTTCTTCAACAATATGATCTACATTTGGTTTTGCTCTTATCTAATCATTCACATACAATTTAACGGAAATAAATATTAAAGATAAACTAACTTACTAAAGGTTATGGATTGATTTATTGAATATTATTTTCTATATAGATTACAGTAATTAATTCTAGTCTACAGATACTGAATGTATCCGCGTTATTCAATAAATGATCGAATTCCTCATTATTGTTATTTTTTAGTTTAGCGTTCACGCGATCTGTAAAACATGTATATACGATGTATGAATTGAATGACGTTAGAAATGTGTTTACCAACTCAATGGTCGAAAACATTTAAGCACTTCCCTTGTAGCTTGAAAGTCTTGGGTTCTATACCCGGTGGTTGATGCTCACTTCTAAAGAGTCGCACATTAGGATAAGATAGTTATCTAGTGATTCCTTGTTTCAATAATTGTCTAACTGAAATTAATCCATGATGTTAAATTAAGTTTTGTTGTCCTTTTTCACAAGACAAAATTTATGACAATTTCTTTTTTATAATTTCAGACAACATTCAAAGCATTCTAAACGTACATAAAAGTGGAAAAGTTGGGAAATCTCTACTACTAAAACATTTTAGAAAAAATATATTTAACAGTTTTACTTATCACCTTATTTACATTGTCTTTCTATTCATATTTTCATGCATTTTAGAACGGATGATGTAAAATCAAGAGTTTCTTTTTATACATTTATCTTTGCTGGGAAACTCAAATTTACTTTTTTTCTAATTTTAATATTAAAGAGTTTTTTTTTACCTTCATTTTGTTAGTTGTACATTGATATTTAACAGATTGCTGCTATGCTGATATTATTTTTGTTATCTTTCGATATTTTAACGGTTAATCATGGGAATAACTATGACTAGTTTTGCATAAAGGATAACGAGGTGAGGGTTTATTATATCATTCAAGTTCATCTCTTATACAATTGGTACATATGTGCCTTTTTAAAGAATATTATTTACGAAGGTTTGCATTTTTCCATTGCTAATATTTACAGCAGATAGTAATCAGTCGTTGTATTGGCATATGTTCATCCCGATCGGATATTTTGAAAGTTCTATTTTAGCTCGTTTGAAGTGTGGCTAGCAATCGAATCCAGGACACGCGTGTCGTTCTATCTGAAACTCTTTGGTTATAGCTATGTGATTGCATCTAGGTATTGATGTTCACAATGAGTATCTCACTGAACACCAAAGTAGAGCCGACATTCATCGAATATATTTACATTAACAGTCATTTAATTACTGTTAGACTAGATGATTCTGAGAGAAAGCTGACATAGAAAACAATGTATCTTTGTAATAATATATGTCTACTGTCCTATGGATTTCAACATTCATTTAGTAAAATTGATCTGTCAAAGAAATGGTGTTTTCGCAAAAACAAATTTTTCAGGTGTTGTGATGTTAGCTGGGTACTTAAATAGTCAAATCATGCTTCTATGCTCAGTAGAGTTGCTCAGATGACTAATAGGTACTTACTCAAATAAGATATAGGTGACCGTCTTCTGTAGCTTTATGCAGATCGCAATCTAGTTCGTTTCGGTATTCTTCAATGTAACTTTGAATAAGAATCGATCATGTAACGGTCAGCTACCGATGGTCCAGGTGTATTAGAGACAGTGTATCTGATATGTGAGAGGATGATAATAATTGGTTGTCTTCTTAGTCATACTAGTAGACAACATGACAGGTACTATATGAGTTATACATCCTCTTATCCTTATTGTTGCTGTTACTGTTGTCGGTCTGTGATGTGGTTAATAACGTGTTATTGATCTGAGCTTTGTTGAAGTCCTGTAGGCTAGACACTGGGAGGAAATCTAATGTAGATATTCGCCGAAGGCAAATTATCATCCCATTCATGTAGACTAGGGAATAATAATATATATTCTGAAAATAATAATTACAGAATTCACACCAGTTTACAGGCATGATCAAGTTGATATAAATAGTAACGTTAGATGTAGAGAACAAACATGTGATATAAGATAGTTTTAAGTATACTAGTTCAGTAATTGTTTAGGTAGTACGTGTATTACAGCGATCCAATGCATCAGCCGGGAACTTTTAATTTTTTCTTAAATGGACAACCTGTTGGTTTATGAACGATGTAATTAAGGCCATTTTCTACTCATTGGGATATTACAAATATATTATTTTTATTTATAAGGTCATTTTGCTGTGCCAGATCGAATTAATGATAATTATCTACAACTCGAGATATTAAAACGAAAACAGAAAGCACGGAACAACAAAGCAGTAATTCCCAAAATGTGTCAATCAGGTCTACAAAAATGCATGTGACACGGTGTTAACACAAAGTGACAGCAAGTAGGTGATTTTACTTAGGGAATGCACTAATAAAAATCCGACCGTTATAACTGTCAAATTCACTTAACGTTGAAGTAGTTTTTGAGCGGTAATTTTGTTCTCCAACAGACTGGAAATTTATCACATAAAATCCCTTAATTCTAGCATAAAGCTTTTCACCGCTTACAAACAGCATAACGTTACAGAGTAATATGATTAGAAACAAAGGTTTCACATGGATTAGCTAGTAAAATGAAAACGAGTTTGAAAGTTAGCAGTATCTAAGGAAGTTGTAATGATATAAATTACAAACTCTATGTTGCTTTAATAAAGAACCACTAAGAACAATAATTCCAAACTCAACATGGGACATGAATAACACGAATGTTCTTTGGTGTGTTCTATCCATTTCTGCATTATTCCACTTCCTCTTGTGTATTTCTTCATACTACTTAATAAAGCTCAGTAACCTGTTTCATTTTTATTAACTTTTGAGTCTGTCACACATGTTATCGTATGTTTGAATTAGCCCTAATGTAATTATTGCAGGAACCCTTTTATCATCCATAAATAACGATACGTTGATTGCAGTATATAACTCACGATTTAAGGTTTATAACAACCTTACATACATTTTGTTGAAACAGAACCATATGGTTAATGATTATAATTCATACAACAAATATCGATTATTATCAGAATGGGTTTGTGGAGATTTTAGAAATTTCACAGATTGATATCATGAGTCAGTTGAAGCTAGACCACCATGGAAAACCTGGAAGCACTGCTGAGGAGTCCCATACTAGGATGAAACGGCCGTCCAGTGCTTCCAGGTTTTCCACGGTGGTCTAGCTTCAACTGACTCATGATTTCAATCTGTGAAATATCGATTAATCAACAACATTATTTTGAGCACTACTATCTGAATAAAGTCTGAAGATAATCTTGCCTTATTTACAAGTTTTTGACAACATAGATGTACCCACTGTGCTATGTTAAACGAATGTTTCATTCTAGGATGAGTATATATAACTTTATTAGTAGTCAGTTATGAACAAACAGAATACCTCTTAGTGTCCCTCAAAATTTTGAACATATTTATGCAATCATATATGGTTTGCGAAAAGCATTCTAAACTTGATTTTGTCATCGTAATTCACACTTAATATAATTGTAGTTAACCATTTTACTGGTACGAAGTAGAAAGCACATCAAATGATATACCCTATGTAATAGTTACTTAATTTTATTCTCGAAACAACGTTGTCAGTAAATCTTTGAAAAAAGTACTGTTTTGTGTGTATAAATATGCTTGTATTGAAATGTAGTTAACTTGTGTATTTATTTATTTAATGTCCTGGAGCCAATAACTGAGTATTTTAATTAATAATACTATTTGAATTATTGAAGAAATTATGTTTAAATTGAGTGCATAGACTATAATCATACCAACGATTCGGAAATCGATTCGATTATTTGTTTATCAAAAAATATCAACTTTCAAAGGCAATAATAAGAGAAATACTCCCACTCGAAAACGAATACAATTATTATATATATGGACATGTATACATATATATGATCAATATTCGTCCAATGTGATATCACACAATTAATTCTTTAACAGTAGTGATCTATACAGCAATGCACATGTGCCGCTTCAATAGTTGACATGCAGCTGGTGTAAGTCTTTCCTGAAGAAGATGTATTTGCAACTGGGTATTTCTGAACTCGCTCTTCCTACCATATCCAGTCTGAAGAAGCACACTGAACATAGATCCCAGCACGCGTGTTTTTCTTTTGAAGTTGTATAGCTTCAAAATGCAATCAGTTGTATCAAAGAAGTTCACATTGCTTTGTTCAAGGGGCGTTGCAGCGAGTCTAAAAACATTTGATCACTTTTGTTTCTTAAACAACAAATGTTCTCTCACATACCGTTAGGAAATCGCGTCTGATGCTTCAATAAATGAACGATAACTTTGGAAAATAAAAAAGACTGTCATGCATAAAGATTTATATTTACTTTTCCACATTTCGAGTGAAAATCAGATTGGAGAATAGCTGTACAATTTCGGATCGCAGCCTCTACAACGACGGTTAACGGGTTAATGTCAATCATTGAGTAACTTACCTTCTTTATGACATTACGAATGAGGTGTGCGCAACACTGGCCCTTCTATCCCAAACGCAACAACAAATGCAGGAGAAGACGAACAGTGTAGCAGCAGCAGTAGGTCTCAATATACACAAAGGGAAAAGCAGGATTCTCCAATACAACATGGAATGCACCAATCCAATCACAATTGACGGAGAAGATTTGGAAGATGTAAAAACCTTTACATATTTGGGCAGCATCATTGATGAACAGGGTGGATCTGATGCCGATGTGAAGGCGCGGATCGGCAAATCAAGAGCAGCATATTTCTAACTGAGGGACATCTGGAACTCAAAACAACTGTTAACCAACACCAAAGTCAGGATTTTCAATACAAATGTCAAGACAGTTCTACCGTATAGGACGGAAACCTGAATAACTACGAAAGCCATCATCCAGAAAATACAGGTGTTTATTCACAGTTGTCTACGTAAAATACTTCGGATCCGTTGGCCGGACACTATCAGCAACAACCTACTGTGGGAGAGAATAAACCAGATGCCAGTGGAGGAAGAAATCAGGAAGAAGCGCTGGAAGTGGATAGGACACATTGGGGAAAGCACCCAACTGCGTCACAAGACAAGCCCTCACATGGAATCATCAAGGCCAAAGGAAAAGAGGAGGACCAGAGAACACATTACGCCGAGAAATGGAAATAGACATGAAAAAGATGAACAAGAATTGGATGGAATTAGAAAAGGAGGCCCAGGACAGAGTGGGTTGAAGAATGCTGTTCGGTGGCCTATGCTCCATTGAGAGTAACAGGCGTAAGTGCGCAACACAAAATGTGGTGAGAGTTTGGATACGCTTGCGCTATAGCAGCAGATATCAGATGCCATTAGATCTATCGGGGCGTCTAGGTCACTCGATTGAGATACACGTGAAACCGAAGTTTCAAAACAACGATTTGTCTACAATAGCGGTTTTTCATTGAATAATACACAAAATTTAGTTACAAATCTCAACTTGTGAGGTGTCTGGGGCGTTTAAACGCGTCCTTCAAGTATGAAAATAAAAATGGCTTCCTGTAATAGTAATATAAAAAATAATTATAACGTGCGATAGTACAAAAGACAGCTGATAGCTATGCCTATATTTGACAACAGTTTATGAACAACCGAAACCCAAACCAAGAGCAAAACAATGTGGAAACTGTTGCGTTCAAACAAATACACGAAACCTTGGATAAACTCTGCATTGATTAAGGTACAGTAATTAAAATGATAAATACAATGATAGGTACAATAAACGTAATAAATGTATGTTAACATTTTAGAATATTACACAACAACTTGCGCTTCAACATATGTATAAAAATTTTTGGGAATTCTACTGCTTAGTGAATATAAATAAGTAGTACAAAATAATACACAAAAGAGTGGAAAGGGAGCGAGTGGAACAATGTAAGACAAACTTAACAGATACGTTGTATTCAAAAATATGTTATGTGTTTCCGTGGCAACGTGAGAAGCGACAGAGCTTGTACTTAGTACGTTACTATCGTTCATAATTTGAAGAAAAGGTGCTCTATCGACAATTACATACATTTTATATCAATTTTAAGAAATAAATAACTATCTATAATGAATTTAAAACTAGCCATTTAATAGAACGAAACGGAATGAATGAAAAATGGGATCAATAAAAAATCATTACACTATCGAAATCTATCAAAGGGGCTAATTGCAAAGCGTTCTGTTATGTTGATTACCTAAGAACCATGGCGATACGTATTGTCAAAACAATCAACTCTACTACATGACTAGGAATGGTGTCTAGAATTAAAGGGGTTATAACAAATAGTGCTTAAATTTAAATTACTTTGAAAATGTATTTAAAATTGCATTCTCAAAACATAAGAAGTACTGTCGTATATGCTACTGATGTCGACAGATATGAGTAACATGTATCCTCAATCGATAGTGGAATTCCTGGTGGCAAAAGGTTGAGAAAATCAATGAGAAGAGAACGAGAACAGAGAGTCATAGGTATAGAAACGATGAAACAACAAAGTCTGAGACAATTGATGGATATTTTACAGATGAAATGCTCATTTCATGGTTCTTAGTGTTATGACCTTGGGTATGTCTGGTTTCGCTATCACGCGACCTATCTACCAATCCGGATACGACTTATGCGAACTCCACACTAGGCCAACCAATGACGTTCAACCGGTGTGGGCAGTCTAGCGTCCTTATTGGTCCTATGTACTACGAGCCCTTCCACTTGAGTCCAGAATACAATACCAGCTTCGAATTAGGGCAGATCAGAGCAGATCGTTTATTTCAAACATACTCGGTTTATATATCAAACAGACAGACCACAACACACCATAAATTAGGAAATAACATATGTACACAAATAAGCCAAAAAGTGGCTGTGAACGAGGGGGACAGTAATTAATAGACTGAACATAGTTTAAGAACCGTAAATCGTACAATAATAAATTATAGATCAAAATAAAGCTTATAATAAGAGGGATATAAATATACATAATCTAATGATTGAATAGTTTTACAATAAGAATATTTATAGAATATTAGTCCATTAATAGTCCTCGGGAGTTACCTGTAATTTAATCTTCGCTGGGATATAACACCTCCCCCTTTTTTTTTGAAGACTCCAAGTTTAGATTCGGATTTAAAAAAAAGAATTTTTTTTTGTAACTTTGAATTCTCCAACATTCTCCTCCTCCTCGAAATAATGTTGGGTCCTTATATCTCCAAGTTACAAATAATAGGACATTATTTAAACGACGTTTCTCGCATTGAATGTCGGATCCACTAGAAACGACTAGATGATAATGAACAACCTTTGATTTGAGGTCAAAGTTTAATTCTTCTGAAGCATTACTTTCAAATCCATAAGAAATTTCATCAATGGATAATGGATCATTACGGAAATCATCATCTAACAAAATTACATTAGACTTTTGACCATAATTTGACTCAGCCGATATTTTTTTCTCATTTTTATAAAAAATTTCATCAAAATTACATGCATTATTCTGAGAACCCATATCTGCTACCTTGTCATTAGATATCGGATAAGCTGATTCAATATAAATTTCTGTCTCACAATGATTTTGAGTAACATTCGGTATAATTGGGTTCATCGTGTCACTGCAGTTATTTTCTGAATACGAGTCCCCATAGCTTTCTCGGCTAATATCACGTGGACCATAATTTTGTTCTAGCTGAAATTCATTTTCAGAGCTAGACAGGACCAGTAGTGCTTCATTCAATTCTGGACTCCGGGCTTCATCTACAGGGTCTGGCTCCTGATCATCTGGTATTGTCACAACTTCATGAGCATTCAGCACAGTATTTTCTTGTTCTGAGCCGGACACGTTACAAATATTACGTTCTGATTCAGGTATAAAGGGATTTGAACCCTGCACAGGATATGCTTCTGAAATGTCCATTTCTGCACCATTATCTGCATGATAAATAGATTTCTTGTTTTCTGCTTGAATGCAAAGTCTGCCCAAAACTGTTTCAAATACCTGTTGTTGCAAGGCCAACATCTTCTGCTGGTGCTGTAATATTAACCGCAACTGTTCTAAAGAAATCGACATATTTTTTTTTACTGCCAATAATATTAGCTCCAAAATCACCGGCAATTATAACAGCTAATTTATTTACAAAATCTGAGTCACCACTTGTTGTATATTTTTTTTCCAAAATCCCCGTCGCCAATTGTTATGACCTTGGATCTGTCTGGTTTCGCTATCACGCGACCTATCTACCAATCCGGATACGACTTATGCGAACTTCACACTAGGCCAACCAATGACGTTCAACCGGTGTGGGCAGTCTAGCGTCCTTATTGGTCCTATGTACTACGAGCCCTTCCACTTGAGTCCAGAATACAATACCAGCTTCGAATTAGGGCAGATCAGAGCAGATCGTTTATTTCAAACATACTCGGTTTATATATCAAACAGACAGACCACAACACACCATAAATTAGGAAATAACATATGTACACAAATAAGCCAAAAAGTGGCTGTGAACGAGGGGGACAGTAATTAATAGACTGAACATAGTTTAAGAACCGTAAATCGTACAATAATAAATTATAGATCAAAATAAAGCTTATAATAAGAGGGATATAAATATACATAATCTAATGATTGAATAGTTTTACAATAAGAATATTTATAGAATATTAGTCCATTAATAGTCCTCGGGAGTTACCTGTAATTTAATCTTCGCTGGGATATAACACTTAGATTTTACCAAGATATTTTGTAATATCGTGTTAAATTACATTTGTTATTCCCACTTGTGTTCTCGTTTACTACGGTACGATAAGAAATTCAGTTATATAATTATTATCCCAACTTAGAATTAAGACTTTTCATCACTGATGTATAAATACAAGAATAAGTTCATGAATGACTAAAATTAATAGTTATTAAATAAATAGGAAAATAAAATTACAACTGTGTTGAATGTTTAATGTCTAATGAAATTAATTATTAACAATTTCATTTAATCACAATGAGGGTTTGTGGAGATAGTAGTAATTTAATATCTGAATTTATGAGCCGATTTAAGGTAGACCACCTTGGAAAACCTGGAAGCACTTGATAGCCGTTTCGTCCTTTTATGGGACTCCTCAGCAGTGTGTAGTGATTTTGATTATTATTTGGTTTATATCAAACAACTTTCCAATATTATATGGGATGATAAAAATAATAATTTCACATTAGTATGAAACAAGTAGTCATCTAATTGAAAATACAAAACTTAAACTTTATTATTACCAGAATGGGTTTTGTGGAGATTTTTTTTTAAATTTCACTTGTTAAAATCATGAGTCTATTGAAGCTAGACCACCATGGAAAACCTGGAAGCACTGGATGGCCGTTTTGTCCCATACTAGGACTCATGATTTCAACAAGTGAAATTTTTAAACTTTATTGTTTGAAACGTTGTTAAACTTACCAATGATTCATAAATCATCAACTTTAAGTATACTTGACAAGATAGTCAACATTTACAAAAGTTTAACCAGAATTCATTATTAAAAAATTATTTATTACAGTATTTGATTGATGTCAACAGATAGAATATTGAGTTTTATTGTTTTAAACAGCACTAAACTTCCTCCAAATTTAAAAAAGAATTAGAACAACACATATAAGCGAACAATATTGTTTTCAATTAGATCGTCATCAGGCTTTACTCTAATATACATGAATATTTATACGAAAATTTTAAACCAATCAAGGCAATATGGGTCAATAATCACAATGAAATAGAATAAGTCACTACACATATTAGGTAAAAGTACAAGTTGATAGTAGGAAGACAGGTGAACTGATAATAGTAAGAATAATAAAATACAATAACAAAACTCTTATCAATAGTTAAGCGTTGGAAATAGAAGGTCAAATAAACATGGGTAAATAGACTAGGAATAGTAATCACATCATTACGTAATAATTGAAAACAATTGTTCGCTTATATGTGTTGTTCTAATTTTCACAATAGGAATCTTTAATATTTTAAAAAAGAATGTCTTTATTATTATTGTTGTAATTAAAAACAGTAGAAGTTACCTGAAAACTAAAGCGTTTTTTTTTTATTAGATTATCTGAACGTACTACCTTTTTGATTTCCATGTTTCGCTTGGTCTTCTTATTTCATTTTATTGTTTACGTGTAAAGACAACGTCCATCAATAAACATACTGTTGAATAGCAATAAGAATATTTATACAACTACATTAAACGAATTAGCATGTTAAGTGTGTAAAACATCATTAAGAATACAGTGTTATATCATTGTACTGTAATATACAATAATAAATAATGATTTGCATGAATCTTTTATAAAATTCTTTTAACGTGTAATATACGACTGGAATTTATGAATGGATTTTTAAATTCTTCTATTGTAGCCATTGGTGTATCTACTATGAACATAGTCATTATTATTGCACTAAAAATAAGAAAGAAAAATGTAAACATGCAAACTAGAACATGATCAGTAAAGTACATAACCTCAGATTATTCAATCAACTGTCAAATTCCTTTGAATAACTTTCTTTTAAACAAAATAATATGTATATTTAAACAGAGTAGGACAGGTAATATTATGGCTACTAGTAATGACACTCAATATTGAAAGGTTCATGAAAGCATAATGGCAATTATGCTTATTTACTTAATTGCGCCTGTTACTCCCAATGGAGCATAGGCTGCCGAACAGCATTCTTCAACCCACTCTGTCCTGGGCCTTCTTCTCTAGTTCCATACAATTCTTGTTCATTTTTCTCATATCTATCTCCATTTCTCGGCGTAATGTGTTCTCTGGTCCTCCTCTTTTCCTTTGACCTTGAGGATTCCATGTGAGGGCTTGTCTTGTAACGTAGTTGGGTACTTTCCCCAATGTGTCCTATCCACTTCCAGCGCTTCTTCCTGATTTCTTCCTCCACTGGCATCTGGTTTGTTCTCTCCCAAAGTAGGTTGTTGCTGATAGTGTCCGGCCAACGGATCTGAAGTATTTTACGTAAACAACTGTGAATAAACACCTGTATTTTCTGGATGATGGCTTTCGTAGTTATTCAGGTTTCCGCCCCAAACATTAGAACTATCTTGACATTTTGTATTGAAAATCCTGACCTTGGTGTTAGTTGACAGTTGCTTTGAGTTCGAGATGTTCTTCAATTGTAAATATACTGCCCTTGCTTTACCGATCTGTGCTTCCACATCTGCATCAGATCTACCGTGTTCATATCAATGATGCTGCCCAAATATGTAAAGGTTTTTACGTCTTCCAATAATAACGGACTCAATAATCATTTAACATGATCAGAAACATAATTGATTGAATATATGATCATCAGTATGATTATATAAGAGGTAAAAATCAAAAAGTAAAAATCTAGGAGGGTTGAAAAATTAATAAGCATTATTTGACAAATACTTAATCAGAAGGGGTTTGTGGAGATTTTAGAAATTTTCACAGATTTAAATCATGAGTCAGTTGAAGCTAGACCACCATTGAAAACCTGGAAGCACTGGGCGGCCGTTTCGTCCTAGTATGGGACTCCTCAGCGGTTAATCAAGATTTCCTACTATATACATAGGTTAAAATTGGAACGTTTGATGACGATTATCTTTGAAAACCATTGTAAAATTGATGTTTGTTGTTAAATGCATTACTTATATTCACTGCATATCCATTATCTGAATTATTACTTTCCAACATAGAAATATATACTGACTTTAACCATATTCATTCATATATATTTTGTGTTCTATTCGTCGTTTTATTATGATTAAAAGGATATTTCGATTATTTACTTAAACTTCACAAACTAAACAAAGATGGATGGTAGCTAGCAGTGGAATCCAGAACGGGCGTTCTTTTTTCCTATTTGGCACTTGCTAACTGGATATACCTACATCCCAAACTGAAGTTTGTTAAGCTTTTGCTTATAATAATCTTAATAATTTTAATTTTGATAGAGTTTTGTTCTCTGAGCTGGATGGAGAACAAAACTCCACCCAACTCATCCACTTAAGCTACAAATCTTCTCCACCATCTCATTAATTTTAATTTTAATGTATAACCAGCTAATGAGAAACGATGAAATCGAATGAATTAATTTTATCCCAAAAACTTTCTTTGTTCTGTTCAATATTTATTAGGGAATCTTGTAACATTCAATGTAAACATTCCAAAAGTAATGCGTTTGGAATCCATATAATAGGAATAATCTTATTAAAAAAAAAACATGATCATTTCTCTCTCTGAATATTAGAAACTTTATATAATTCTGTTTTCATACCAAGGAATATTTAAACTCCATACATATAAACTGTGTTTTGATGTTACATAAAAATGAAATTACCATTAACTCTGTTGATTAATTAGGAACATTACCTGAATGATCTTTTTTTTTCTTCAACAAATCAAATTGATCTTGAATAGTTTTCATGGATCATATTCTAAAGGTGTAATGAAAAGTTTGAAGGAAATCTGTGAAAATGATAAACATTAAAAGTCAATTAATCACGTAGTCAAATGGTTAATATATTTTGTTTCTTTACCAGACTATTGTCTGTATGTTACAAATTTTTTTTTCTATCATTCTTTACAATCATTCTTTAACCATTTAGTTATTTCAGTCAATAACAAAAGTCATTTATAAATGACCATTATGTACTAAATTCTGGTGAGTGGCGTATACACGTCCACGAAGGGTAAAAGACGTGAGCAAGTAAGTAAGTGAGTAAAAAGTAAGTAAGCACGTAAGCAAGTAAGTAAGTAATGAGTAAGTTGGTAAGTGAGTCAGTAAGTAAGTGAGTAAGAAGGAATATAAGTAAGTGAGTAAGGAGGTATATAAGTAAGTGAGTGAGCGAGTAAGCAAATATACAAGCAAGTAAGTAAGTAAGTGAATAAACAAGTAAGTGAGTAAGTGAGTGAGCGAGCGAGTAAGCAAATATACAAGCAAGTAAGCGAGTAAGTGAGTAAGCAAGTAAGTAGGTAAGTGAATAAGTAAATAAGTAAGCAATTTCCTAGTGACTTATTAATTATTTGTTTTAGTCGTTTAAAACAGC